GGAGCAAATGAGATGAAGTATGAAAAACACTTAGCACAGTAGTCAACTGTTAGGTATTTCTTCAAGGAACTAAACAATTGTTATGTGTGCTCAAGGTTTTCATTACGTTTGCTTTCACAGCAAAAACAAGCTGTGATGGAAAAATAAAGGCTCCAAATGAATAGGATTTCATACTTTTGTTTCTCCAGGTGACCTAAAATTGCCTGCAGAAATCTTTCAATGCAATATAAACTCTTACCCCCCACACACACACAATCCCACCAAAAAACCCCAACAACCATCAATCCCCCTCCTTAACTACTCTATTAATAGATATGCTAATGATTGTCATGGATATGAAAAGTGCACATTCAGAAGAGGAATCGAGGTATAGAGCATTAACAAGATAGACTGGCAGCTACTACAACCTCCTTGATTATACCAGATCAACTCCTGGAGCTTTAAGTCGTTCAGTGAATAGTCAAAGGTACAAACTCATTTATTCAACAAAAGATAAAAGGGTCTAAGTATCATATAGGTTACATGTAAACACACATACTAGTCATATTCCACTTAACATTAAAGATTTTTATTTTGCTTGAAGCCTAATTTTTATACTGCTTTAATAAAACAAAAATGTATTTTGTAAAAACCAAATATAAGACAGTCATTTAACTTTACCCACTAACACACACACAGTGGGAGCCGGACGAGTGGCTCAGTTGGTTAAGAGCTTGAGGGCGAGCTCTGAGCAACAGGGTCACGGGTTCGATTCCCACATGGGCCAGTGACCTGCGCCCAAGCGGAGCTGCCGCTGAGCTTCCAACAGGTGGGAGGATGGCTCAGCTGGTGAGAGCATGTGCTCCTAACAAGGTTGCCTGTTCGAGATGGTGGGCTATGCCCCACCCACAACTAAAGATTGAACTTGGCACCTTGAGCTGAGTGGCACGACTGGAGTTGGAGCTGAGCTTGCTGCGCCCTCCACAACTAAGATTGGACAACAACTTGGCTGTTCCCCCCTCCCCCAATCCCCCCCAAAAATCTTTTAAAAAACCCCAAAAACACACAGAAATTTTAGAGTAAAATTAAGCACTATTTGTTAGCCTTCTAGGTGAATGTAATCAGTACATGAGCTCATCTAGGAGCCTGGTGGGACAAAGCAAACCTGAGTTGTTCTGTGTGTGACAAATACAAAAGGAAAATATAATAATCAAGCTCAAACTCATGATTTCTTCACATTTCCAACATGTATTTTCATTGCCTACATAAGGTTCAAGAACTCAAAAGGATAAGGAGACAATGCTTTTAAACGTCTTAACAGTTGCGCTGAAGGGCTACTTCTGATCATACCTTCCCACCACTGTCCATGATATTGACTACATAAACACCCTGTGCGGTATCAGGTCCTGTCAGTCACCAATGGTCGGATTTCTGGTTTATAAACAAGGGACATTCGTTTTCAATGACAAAAGGAAAGCACAGGAAGGGGGATAAAAAGTAATGAGAGATCACAATATTAAAACTTCAGGTTTTAAAAGTAGCTTATTGATAATAAACTCCAGGTCAGTGTCCCCTTCGGTCCTCAATGGATTCAACTCAGGGATCTTGCCAAACCAGTATTTATCCAGGTATTTGAACAGATTCCAGACTCTACAGAAAAAAAGAAAAACTTCCGTTTTATCTGCTGGCCAACTTTTTTATAGTGGTGTATGATTATTTCACAGGATTAGGGAAACTGCTACTTACACATCGGACTTCTTCACAGTGATATTGATGTCCATATTGGAAAACAAAAATCAGAAACCTTCATAATACTCAACAAAATCTCAGATTAAAGACATGATTTTAAAAATGACTCCATGAAAATTTTAAAGAACATCCATGTAACTTCAACTTCAGGATAGAAAAGGTATTTTTAAATAGGACAGGAAATCTAGAAGACAAAGACTGACATAAAAATAAAAAAATTTGGTACAACAAAGATATCATAAATCATACCAAAATGCAAACAGTGAGAGAAAATATTTATAAGACAAAAAATCTTAAGTGTTAATATTCTTACTACAAAAGGAACTCCTTACTGAAAGGGGTTCCCGGATCCAATTCCAATGTGTGTGGACTCCCCACACCAACAAGCAATTCCTGGATGTCCGCAGGGTATCTGAGAATTCACCTCAATTCTGGCATTATCTTTCCAGAGTTAGAATCAGATTCCATAGGTGAAGAGCTTAGTTCTACAAGATCACAATACTGCCCATACTGCCCTCCACCTCACATGCCAGTTGCAAGCCCGGGGTATTACCTGTTTCTGATTTGCTACAAACCAGATGTTCTAGCGACCCCCAACTCAGGATGCCAGTCAAGTTCAGGTTGCTCCCTGTGACTGGGCACAAATCAGAGGCCCCGTGCCCCCTCCTCCTTAGTGGCAATTAACTTGCTACACCAGCTCACAGAACTCAAGAAAACCCGTTTTACTCAGATTACCAATTTATTATAGAGGATACGAATCAACAGCCAGATAGAGATCCCTAAGGCAAGGTATGGAAGCAAGGAGCATCTGGCCTTGTGGATCTCGGAGGCACACGGAAAGTGTTCTGGTCCCCCAACTTGGAAGCTCTCTGAAAAAGGGCCTACGAGCTGATCTTTTTGGGGTTTTTATGGAGGTTTCATTAGTCATGATTGACTAATCCATTGTCAATTGATTCAACAAGCCCCTCTCCCCTCTCTAGAAATCAGGGGTTGGGACTGAAAGTTCCAGTCCTCCATAACGACATGGTTGGCTCCTATTGGCAACCAGCCCCCATGCTTAGGTGCTTTCTAAAAGGCACCTTATTAAAAGACCTGCATCACTCAACATTTAGTAACTTCCAAAGGTTTCAGGAGCTGAGCCAGAAATGTTTAGACCTACTATAAATCACCAGTACCACATCTGCCAATTAAAAAAATTTATGAAACTGGCAATTTGTAGATGAGGATATGCAAATAGTTGTTAAGCATGAAAAGAATGCTCAACAAAAATATTTCAGACATGCAAATTAAAACAAGATGCCATTGAATTGGCTTAAAATAAGATCAGTATTATCAACCTGCAGTACAAGTGAGGACACAGGGCAATGGCTGCTGGTGGAAGAGTAAATCAGTACAAGTTTGACTTCACTGACTCCATCTACTTAAGTGTCACTATACATTATGTATAAGAAAGTTCACATACTACAGTAATCTTACAAATAACCCAAGTATTAATACCCAGCAATTGGTTAAATTGGAAAACCTCCATAAAACAGCCTACTACGCCCCTATTAAAAACAAAAACACGTTTTTACTACTTAATACAAGTCACTGTTCTAAGTGCCTCACGTGTACATGTCTTTATAGAAACCCATGATTTATCTATTTTACAGGTGAGGAAACTGAGGCAGAGAGCGGTAAGCTTGTTGAGACTATGCTACACTGCTGGAACTTGGAAGGGGCCAGAAACCAAGGAATGTAGACAGCCTCCAGAAACAGAAAAAGACAATGAAACAGATTTTGCCATTAGAGCCTCTGGAAGGAACCAGCCATTACCTAGACTAGCCCAGTTGAGACCAATTTTGGGTTTCTGACCTCCAGAACTGTTAATAAATTTGTGTTGTTTTAGGCAATTCAGTTTGTGGCAATTTTTTACAGCACCAAAAAATACAACATAATAAGGCATAAAATTGTTTCCAGAAAAGCCCTTATTAAAGTTTAATGTATAGGGGCATTAATATCTGATATGAACAGGTCTTATCATCTATGGAACCACTGTTGACAGCAGTGCTTGGTCTGTAATAATCAGCTTAGCATAACTTCCTTTTTTCATTTTTAAATTAAGGTATAAGCAACATATAAACATTGTTAGTTTTGGGTATACAACATAGTAATTCAAAGTTTGTATATATTGTGAAACTACTTCCTTTTCTGTGTGGATTTTGGAAATTAAAAACATGTCCAGCACAACAGGATCAGTCCTATCAGAATACCTGTTTTTCAGATGGCAGTTTTCACAAACTAGATTCTAAATAACAAAATATCACTTCAATGAAGCAAATGCCTCTTAGAAATCACATGAAACTAATTTTTATCTCCTCCAAGAAAACATTTTTGTGGAAATACATGTGTGGGGGTGTTTACACTCCTACTGCAAAGGCAATCAGATAAAGAAAAAGTCTAATCACAAAGGAATATAAAACTATTTATTGACCACTGTTTACCAGTATTTACAATAAAGTAAACAATATACAGCTGGATAACATTCTGATTACTACAGTTGTTTTTTCTGGCTTCTGCTGAACCAGTAACCCAAATACTTAGATTAAGCCTACACGTAAGGAATGAGCTGGGAAAAAGGAAAAACATGCAGGTCAAAAAGTTTCGATTATACAAGTTTGTTCACCCATTTATTCCAACAGGTCTTACACTGCCAAGTCTCTAACCTTCGTTCCATGAACAAAGTCTTATGCATTCTATGAATACTGACCTTTTAGCCAATATAGCACAAGGATTTCAACTTCTCGTAAAGGAGTAAGTCTTGCCTGCCTAATTAAAATACACCAGGATTTGCCTAGTTTTCTCATTTGGGTGAGGTGGTTGCTGGTAGTGACAAAATTTTCCTTTAAGGGTTTTGCAGATAAACTTGCATTTATATGACTGTAGATATGGATATGGAATCTGATATGGCTGCTCTTAAATTGTTTAATTTTAACTGCTTACATTTTACTTGAATTGCCCAATTAAATTTTTTTTTTTAAGCTGAGCCATCCTGCCACCTGTTGGCAGCTCGGCGGCTGCTCAGCTCGGGCCGGGACTTGAACCGCTGTTGCTCAGAGCTCAAACTCTTGAGCGAGCTCTTAACCAACTGAGCCACTCGGCCGGCCCTGCCCAATTAATTACAAATGATCTATGTAACTTCAAAGGTTAAAGCTTCGGGAAAAATTTCAATTTAACTTGAAGTGTTTCTTAGGTTGCTGAAAATGATGGCGTCCCAGAAACACGGGCTCATCCATGGTCGTGAAATGCTTTTTATTGTAGTAAATGTTAAACAAAGAAAGAAAACCATTTACTTATGTATTCTATGTATACACACCCGAAACCCTTAAATAAACAAAAACCCCAGAATGGTCCTTAGGCATATATGAGTTGAAACAGAAATTCCAACTCAGTAATGACAGTGGAGATTTCCCCCAACATTTAGAAAAGCTGTTCTCTAATGCAGAGGAAAAAATATACCATGGCATCAAATGTTCTTTTCTGATAAAGGAAGCAACTACAGAAAGCTTCTGTTCAAAGTAACCAGTGCTCTAGATGCAAAACCACCCCCCAACAACTCCCCGAATACTACTTCAAAACAAACATATCAAACTTGATTTTCATTAGAATGTAAATGTAGTTATTTCTTCACACTAATAAATCAAAAAAACAAAAACAAAAACAAAACCAAGACCCGGATTTTATATATATATATAAATATATATAAAAGGCAACGCAAATAATTATTGGGCTTCGTCTTCTGGACAAGAATGCCAAGTTAGTCTCTCTTCATAAAAAGCAATTACAATTTGAGGACACTTCATATTTGCCTCTTTTGCCAGCACCAAATCTGCCTCATCTGAATCTTTCCTGTTGTAAGGAAAAAGAAAATACTCAGTTAAAAGTCTAAACACTTTTGTGGTCAACCAAAAATCATCCATTTAAGGAATCGTAACTTAATCGAAGTTTATTTAAGTGCTTCAGGAGGGTTATATGGTACTTGTGCCGGTGTTCCAATAAAAGTTCATTTTATAAAACAGGCCAGTTTGCCCATCTTTGCTTTGAAACATCATTAGCAAAAGTAACTAGAATCATCCCTTCAGCATATTTTAAAAAAACATGCCCATCTATTTGTACTTGATAATATAACAGCAATCACCCACACACTTACCATTTCATGAGAAACATTAATTCTCCACTGCTGTCTGTGGCACCAATTATTCGTTCAGGATCAAGACCTCTGGCAAAGCCTCTTGGTTTATCAGCCTGTTTAAGAGGTTAAATGATTATTTATATACATGTTTCCAACCATTTTTCCAAACAGCAAATGAAGAATATTAACTTCCAATTTGTCTTCATGATATATAGCTTTTAAATTAAAACCTTCCAATAGTCAAACAGCAGAGCCCCTTTTAGTACTAAAACACCTTGTAATTTCCGTTAACCTTACAAGCAGGAAAAAACAAATCTGGGTATCTAAAAAGTATACTGAACTAAGAAAAAAGACAAACTAATCCCTTTATTTCTAGTAACTCCAATCAATTAATAATTATAAATCCTTGAAAGTTAACATTTCAAATCACTTCCAGGAATTAGTCTAAACTACCCACATGTTTAAAGCATGTGCAAAAATACAAATAGTAAAAACTTTAAAACTCAAGACTAATCAGTATTATAATCAATTTGAATTATAGGAAACCGTATAAAACAGTATAATCCAGTGATTTTCAAAGTGTGGTCTGAGGACTCCTGGGAATCCCTGATACCTTTTGGGAGGATCTGTAAGTTCCCCTCTATTCATGCATGTGACTTTAGATTGCCTTCATATACCTCCACCAAACACAACACATCAAATACAGGAAAAGAAGTGTCTTCTTTAAATCAGGCATTGAAAATTTGCAAAAATCTAAAATGCCTCTCTTCACACTTAAAAGTTAGGTTATGTCATTCTTAACTAAATACATAAATATTTTAGAAATTTCTATTTTAATTTCTACTAGTTATTGATAGGTATAACCCACATACGCAAATGTTTTCTGGCATCCTCAATAATTTTCTAGAGACCAAAAAGGTTTAAGAACTGATTAGATCAGATCAACAAATCCTTTCTCCCTACTAGACTTTTACATCGATATCCCAAGCTCTAGGTCAAATTATCCAGGTTAATTAGAATGATGGTTCTAACCTTTACTAGCTGTGTGGCTTTGGGCAAGTTGATCTCTGTGTGGTTCAGGTTACCTATAAAATAGGAATAGTTATACCATGTCTCATAGACATTTCATAGTATATGAAATACAAACTAAGTTATTGGGAACACTGTTTGGCACAATGTAAAAGCTTAATACAGGATAACTTCTGTTATTAAACTGCTTCTGTTGAGCATGTGGTTGACTTTTAAATTATGTACAGTAGTCCCCCCTTATCTGCGGGAAATATATTCCAAGACCCCCAGTGGATGCCTGAAACTGCAGATAGTACTAAATTCTAAATCTACCATTTTTTCCCCTATACATACACACCTATAATAAAGTTTAATTTATAAGTTAGGCACAGTAAGATTAAATAATAAAATACAATTACAATATACTGTAATAAGTTAGATGAATGTGGTCTGTCTCTCTCAAAATACCTTATTATACTGTACTCACCCTTATTATGATGATGTGAGATGACAAAACGCCCACGTGATGAGAAGAATGACGTAGGCATTGAGTCGTAGCATTAAGCTACTATTGACCTTCTGATGATACATCAGAAGGAGGATCATCTGCTGCGGGTGATCCTGGATGGAGCCACGACCATGTCGATGGTTGGATGTGAGGAGCAGACAATGTCGATGGTTGGGGAAATTTAGTATTTTCAGACCCCAGTTGACCACGGGTAACTGAAACCGTGGATATGAGGGGACTACTGTATATTAATTCTTAACACTGTTACTTTCTTTGCTTTGGTTGCTAAAGCATTCAGAACCAAATTTATAGCCAACCCGTTTCTCATCTGTAAAATGGTGGTAATACCTACAATTTTGAGATGTCATGAAGATTTAATGAACTATCTGTAAAGTACTTGCCATCTAGTTCAAATCATCAAATTTTAAATCCAGACATGATCAATAAATCCGTATTGTATGTTTAGTCCCCAAACCTAGATACTAATTTAGAACCAAGACCCTTTTCCCAAATTGCCATGCTAGCCCAATAGGCAGGGAAAGTATACAATTTGTTTTGCAGTAGAGGGTAGAAGCAAGGAGTTGTGTTTTGCCCAAAGCCACAGAGACACCAGTGAAGCCAAGACTGGATGAAAATACACATGTAGTGAATAAACCAACTGTCTCAACTCATGACAATAAGACACAAAAAAACTTATTATCAAAGATTATATACTTCAAAATCACAGCACTGTTTGGCAATACTTTGATAACACAAAGATCATATGCCAAAGTACTTTCTGGTGGTCAATGCCACTAATGGTCTACAATCAGGATGTGCTATGTGGATTGTTTTCATAGTACTGTAAGGGATTTCAATGGTTTAAGGTTAGTGTTCCTTGTATTTAGGACTGTTAAGACTTGGATCACAAGAAATTGTGTGATCAAGGGACCACATTCATGAATCTACCTAAAATAACACTAGCACAATTTAAGTGGTGTAAACATTTACTGCACATTTATACAATGCGGGCTAAAAACCACACCTATCCTTTTTGTCTTATATTATCAAGCGTTTAAAAAAAAAAGTCTTTTAAATGATATTTTAAAAGTATTTGAGTTTTTAAAAGTATTCTAAAAGTATTTTAAAAATCAAGCCATCAACCTTTTACAAAACGCCAGTTTGGTGGGCAATATTTTATACTTACGGCATCTCTTTTCTTCTTTGATTTGCTATCTTCAGACTCACTGTCAGATAAAGATTTTCTTTTTGTACCATCTTTTTCTTTACCAGCTTTTTGAGAATTAAGAAATGCTTCAATTAACTCTGGACAATCTAAATTTTCTTCAGGTTCCCAAGTATTGTCAGCACTGCGTTTAGTTTTAAAAAAAAAAAGTTCAATTAAACATGGTTCATCACCATCACCCAGATCCATTTAATATACAATATCTTAAAAAGTCCTCTGTACTCCAGATGCTAACCATTTCCTTCCTACCCCTCACATTCTTTTGAGACGATCTAGCTGATCATATTTCCCTCTTTTCTTTCACAGCCCCACCTAAAGGAGCCATCTATTATATTACCTCTAAGTTAACTGAACCTGACTCTAGCAGAGTAATTACAGCTAGTATTTTTCTAAATTATGGAGACAACCCACTTCAGAATTTCTTTGGGCTTTTAAAAAATATGAATTCCTGATTCCCACCCCAATTCCTTTACCAGATTAGTCAGATTATGCCTAGGGATGGGGCCTCCAATACTGTGTTTTAAAATATAATTCTGAGGCTTTTTCAAACATGAGACAGTATTTTCAGTATCTGCTGAGTGCTCAAATTGGGAAGTGACATAAAGCAGAGGCTGGCAACCAGTCAAATCCAGTCTTTTGTATGGTTGGCAAACTAAGAATGTTTTTCACATTTTTAAATGGTTGGGGAAAAATTTCAAAATGAAAATTATAAAATTTCAGGGCCCATAAAGTGTTATTAGAATACAGTCACACTCATTTAACAAATTGTCAATTGTTGTTTTGTACTACATTTGCAGAATTAAGTAATTGTGACAGACCTATGAATCATAAAGCCTCAAGTATTTATTTACTATATGATTCCTTAGGCAAAAAGTTTGCCAATCCCTGATATAATAAAGCCGAGATGATCATTTCCATGTATTTTTCAGAAGGGCTGGAAAGAAAATATCAATTACCAAATGTGAAAGTAAGATCATCCTTCATTAGTAACAGGCTTGCTAACTTTGTGTGCTCTGATCCAAAAAACCTTTACACAACAAGATCGAATAAAATTAATCATTTGAGAGGTGCTGGGGAAGGTGCTATTAGCTCCTGGTTATAACTTGGTCTGTTGATAGTGTGAGACTCCAAAATTGGCAAACCTAAATTAGAGGGTAAAGGAGAAGAAAAGAGCTAAAGTGGAGCCCCATTTCTGCAGTGTTGTTTTCATTAGAGCCTTCCACATTACCTAATACATTATACTGCACACAGCAGATTCTCAATCATATTAGTGGCATTAAGTTTGGGGAGAAAGAGGGAGAAAAGGAGTTAGTTTCCTAACGTTTTGATGGGTAGAACAGAGACAAACAGCTTTTAGTGTCTCATGACATAAAAAAAAAACACAACACAAAACCAACAATAAAAAACAACTGTCTACCATATGAAGGTTATTACTTCTTTGGTAAACTGGTTAAATTTAATTTAAAAATAGTTTGAACTCATTTTTGCTTGGTTTAAGCTATTTGTAGGAAATTTTTCTAGTGGTAAATTATGAACTTATGATATACTCTTTTTTTTTTTTTTTTAGCTGAGCCATCCTGCTACCTGTTGGCAGCTCAGCGGCTGCTCAGCTCGGGCNCTGAGCCATCCTGCTACCTGTTGGCAGCTCAGCGGCTGCTCAGCTCGGGCTGGACTCGAACCGCTGTTGCTCAGAGCTCAAACTCTTGAGCGAGAACTTATGATATACTCTTAAGCTCAACTAAGGATACTGGAAAGATAAAACAGGGAAATCTAAATCTTCTATTTAAGTCATAATTCCCAAATTGTAATGTAGGTGGCTATAAAACATGACTGGTGGGGGAAGTAGTACATAAAAGATATACGAAGTCTAATTATTTAACCATCATACTCCCCATCTCTACCATGCTCAGAAAATTTTTGTCAATCTCTACCTATCCATTTTCAACAGTTGCTGCCAGCGGAGTTTTGCTGTTTTTTGGGTGGTAAGGCAGAAGAATCCAAGCAGATTAGCACACGATAAACCTAAGTGTAAGAGTATAATTTCTGCATGTAAGTTATTCACAAGACAGCTAACATAACAGAGCGGTTCGAGAGCAATTAGTAATAAGGAACATGAGGAAATGGGGAGCTTAAAAAGTGCCCAGACTCTACTTCTGAGCCATTAGGATATAGTAAGCCTAGTGGAAGACCCAGGTCATAATGTGCACTTCTGTTTAAGACCCACTTGTCTGTGTTATATAGCTTCCATGTTTTTTAGTGTCCTCTGTATATAGGACAACAATGTAGATTAGGCATTTTAATTAGCACAACATCTAACTATAATACATTCAAACACATGACACAGGAAACTAGACTCTAATTCTATAAATTTGACTCTCCAAGATAATCAACTAGTTTCAGCTCTGCTTGGTTACAACTCTAGGCTAAAGACTTGGTTCTTTTTAAAAAGATCTCAAGCTACTGGGGATTAAAGGTGTCTCTAAGTTTAAAGAAACCTATGGGAAAACTGATAAAAACTGATAAAAATATGCTAAAAACAAATTTTAAATACCACTTAAGTGCAGTTAAACTTATAACAGGGGCCGGCCGAGTGGCGCGATGGTTAAGAGCTGGCTTGGGACGCCAGAGGGCCCCGGTTCGGATCCCACATATGAGGGCCAGTGACACTGCCCTCTATAGCTAAGATGCTGAACAACAGCTCAACCTGGAGCTGGGTTGCCATGAGTCGCCGGCGACGGCATAGGCTGCAGCCCCTGCTGCAGTGAGTTGCCATGGGCTACTGTGTGTAGCCTGCAGCCAGCGTGAGCGGGCAGCAGCCACTGTGAGTGGCCGTCCAGAAGCCGGTGACTGATCTGCCTCGCCCGGGAAGAGCACAATGATGGTGCCAACTTGAGCCAGTGAAGCAATATCCTCCACAACTAGATTGAAGAACAAAAGGACAGCAACTTGTCTGTTCCCCTTCCCTCAATTCCCCAGCACTGTTCCCATCCCCCAATTCCCCAATAAAAATCTTTAAAAAAAACAACAAAAAAAAAACTTATAATAGAAGCACTGAGGATTCTTACTCGGTGAATCCCTTCCACTTCAGAAAATACTCCACCTTCCCATTCACTACACGTCGGTCCAGTACTTTTTCCACCACAAATTCTTCAGGCTCTGCCTCTTCAACTTTTTTACTTTTCCCATTCTGTTTCTTTCCCATTTTTTGCTAAAACAAAAGAGAGAATTAAGAAACATCTGTTTTTGATTTTTGAGTACATTCAAAAGGCTAAATTGCTTATATTATTATTGCATTTGACACCTAAATTTTTACTTCTTTATCCCAGGGATAGACACCTTCTGAAAAGATAAGTCAACAGATAATCGAGAAAAGAAAGGAATGCTTAAATCTATTGATTTAGTTTAAAGCCATCACCCATCACCCTGCACTGAAATAGTACAATCAAAAACACTATGTGGAAATACTGTTCTCTTATTGCTATGTAGTGTATAAGACCAAGTTTACTAGAGTTTTCACTCATTTTAACAACACAGCCACAGACTAGGAGGTATTAGAGGAGAGAGTAAGTAGCAGTGACAGGTCTTAAGTGAACCATAGACCTGTTAAAACTATAGCTCCCAAACACTAAGACCGCTTTGGCAATTCAAACACCAATGTTAAAAGCCACAATACAGAAAAATAGGTAACTGCAAGAATTGAAAAACATATTCAGAATCCTGATTTCAATAGCAGGGTCAACCAAGGAGACCATGAATAGGTTATTTTCCCATAATCTTTGCTGATAACATTACCAACCACTTAGTACAAAGCTATAATGCTGTCATTTCAGGAGGCCAAAATGCTGGATCATTTTAATTCTGTGAAAAAAAAAATCTTTCTTGGTTTCTCAAGAGTCTAAACCAAGAAAATTCACTTAGTTTTTTTGTTGTTGTTTTTTGTTTTTTAGCGTTAACACCATTTGAGAGAAGCAGGAGACCAAGCTCAACCTGCTATTTTCCAATAATGCAAACAGATTTGTTATGAGAAGACTGAAAATGGATAAATTAAAATAAATGAACTGGTCAATTAGAAGAGACTAAGGGGGATGAGCCCCAAATGTTATACTCATTTTATAATCATTTAATCTTAAAACAGGTGCTATTAAAAAAACCCTTAATTGCCTAATCACTCAAATCATCCCTCAATATAACATGCAAGCAGAAAAAGGTAACGGCAATGCCACACGATTGCAAAAGAACATTAAAACTGTGTAGTCATTTAGAGGTAGACACACACATAAAAGAAATAAAAATCCTCTGGAATTTAAAAGAAACACAGCAAACACGTGATTTTGTTGAATACCATCTTTAAGTCAGGCCTTACAATTTTCATTAGTCAAGATACTTGGGTACTGTATCCAGTCTGATAGCTTTCTGCTTCTCTACAATACAGGAAGGGTAGTGGGAAGAGTGAAGAAATATTGGTGTGGACAAATGCTTATTAGATATTGATCCTAAGTAATAAACAAGATAGCTATGTCCATGAAGGTAAGAGATTAATAGAATAAAGGGGGTGACAAAATAAACACAGGAAGTAAAAAGGATAAACCCTAATAAAAAATGAAGTGCTTACTACGATGGTACTCATAAGCTAGTTTCAAGCGCTCATCTTTTTCTTTTTAAAGAAAAATTCACCCACTTTCCCATTTAATTTATAGCACATATGACCTCACAACACTAATAAAATTATTTAAAAATAAAGTTAGATGAAAATACTTGTGTGCAAAAGCAATTTAATTTTAATAGAAGCACTTAATTGCTTTCTGTAAGTATTAGGCAGAGCTAGTTCCTTTCTCATCCAATATTTGGGCAGTTGACCGGAAAGCCAATGTACACTTTGGTTTACTGACTATGAGATTCGAAGGACAGCTCAAACTTGAAGGGGGCACAGAAGATGTTTTGCACTTTTTCCATGGATGGCTTTGATGGGAATCATTTGTGCCATAGAGACTCATCAGTGGGGCTTTATATTTCTTTTTTTTTCAAATAGTAATTTTTTTTTATGAAATACACATTTTTTTAGAATTAGTTTCAGCTGTACAACACAGTGCAATAGTTATACTTTTTACCCCTCGAAGTGACAACCCCCCTCCCCCAGCTTTATATTTCATTTTGATGTTTCCCAGGATATGTCATTTAGATGTGCAATCTAATAATAGCACAAATTAAAAATCACCAACTTGTCCTTTTCGGTGTGAAAACCAAGAGAATATACAAACCAAAATAAAATGTTTTGCTTTATTTAGATGTTAACACTCACCTTTACATACTTGCGATTATTAACAACACAATGTGTTAGAATTAAATACTGTGGGAACCATAACTTTGAATTTCGTGATTTTTATATGAATACTCCAGTGGTTTTTTTTTTTAAACTTCTAACTTGACATGGCTAAATATATGTATGTCTTTACACATCTGCAGAACTTTTTAACGAAGTCTAAGACCGCAAACGTTGAGTTTAAGAAACTGGAGAGAAAAAATATAACTGCTCAGAAGCTTCAATAGATCTACTCTCCTTCCTGGACATACGTGCAATTTTGTTCATTTTATTAAAAAACACTGCGATGATTTTAAGGCCCTTTGGTGTTTTTAGAATGAGCAAGTCTGAAATATGATCAAGTGACCAAAGTGATTTGATTCAGTGACTTTGCCCCATTTAAGTGTATGATGTACCTGCTCAATTAAGTTGGGCAATATTGAAAGTACTTGATTTCCCTAAAATTCAATACAGCGATGTAATTATGCCAATCAACAAGGGCTTTACTGCTTTGTCTATGCTTGTAACATATTTTTCTATGTTATACAAATTTGTGCATTTTTACTTAAAGATAAATATACTTGGTGACACTCATACTGTGCTATTCTTCCAAGATTAGGATCCTTTAATTGAATTAAGACAACTATTAACCCAAGTCAATAAGTATCTCAATGTAATGATTTCATTTTTGCCCCTAGTTTTCCCTGTAACATCGGGGAGAGAGTGGGCTGCAGAATATAAATGGATGTAAATTTCTCAACCACCGAGACGCAGTTATAATTTTTGGGAAAAAAAAATTGAGTTAGATCCTTACATATTTGAGGTTTTCATTAACTTACCAATGTAGTTTTATTGGATGCCATTTTTTATTGCAGACTTGAAGAGCTACTATTAGAAAAATGAATGACAATTAAAAGGAAGTTTGCATGATACAAAAAGGTAGCTAAACACAAGTTTTGTTTGGATTCCAACCCCCACCTGTGTAGCCCGTATTATCAAACATGTATATAAATCCATAGAAGATTTGAGTTTCTGCCTAAGTTATTAGTGATGTATGCCTGAGAGCAATATCAGTGTTCTAACCAAGTGGGCCTATAAAACCTTACTGGGGACACTGGACTCGGAGACACCCTTACAGGGCAAAAATTAGTAGACAGTATTTTTCCAATCCAAATCCCATTTCTACCATAGCCAGCATATCTTTAAAAAAGGTCAAATATCTTGGTTCACAATCAGACACAATTACCACATGAAAATGGTGAACTACCGTGAATTTTTCCTCTAGACCTCGTAACAGTCTTAAGAGGCGACTAGGTAATCCCAACTTGGTTTCTTCTTGGAAACCCTCCCTCTTTCCAGTCAGTCACTAGTTAAAAAACTAAAGGAAAAAAAACACAGCAAGATGCTTCTGTCCCATTTCGTGCCACTTTAAAAAACACATCACCTCTTCTGCACGTCCATCCGCTCCCACTAAGCCCCAGAACCCCGCCCCCCCACCCGGGAGCTCAGGCCTCGTGGTCAGCGCATCCGCGGGGAGAAACAAAGGCCGCGGCGCGGGGGTTCAAGGGCACTGCGCCACGGGGCCCGCGCCTCCTCCCGCCCCACGGCGGCCACGTAACGGAGCGCCCGCCGCAGCCTCCGGACTGCGGGCCGTGCGCGCAGCCGGCCACGCAAATACGGGAAAATGCACAGCCCTCCCGGGAGGCCCCAGTCTCCAACCAGGCCGGAGGGGGAGAAGGGCCTCTCAAGCTTAATCGGGGATGGGGGAGGGGAGGAAATGCGCTTTGTCTAGAAAAAAGGCGGCTGTCGCCACAGCTCTCCACCTTGTCAGACAGTCTCATCCCCCCCCAACAAACTACAGGCGCCGGGCCAGCGCCAGGCCCGCGGCGGGGGTCTTCGCCCGCCTGTTTCTTCCCCCCACCTCACGCCTCGAGGGTCGGGTGGGGAAGGGTGGGAGCGGGAAACGGGGTGGGGGGGGTCTCTGGAGCGCATCTTAAGCACCAACTCCGAGTGATCGCTAGAGAGAAAGAAAAACACCGACTTCACCGCCTCGGAGCTGCTCCGGGTCTCGCGTCTGCAGCGTCTCCGGCCCTGCGCGCCTTCAGCTCGAGCCACATCCGAGGGGGAGGGGGGCCGAAAAGCTGCGCGCGGGACCGCGGGAGTGGGGGGGCAGTTAGTACCGCCCACGCCGGGCGGCACGGGGGGCGGAGCGGGCGGGAGCGCGCCCGGCGGCGGGGGAGGGGCCGCAGGTCGCGCGGTGTGCGGGAGCCCGCGCTCAGACCTGGTGGCAGGAGGGCAGCGACAGTGGCATTTACCTTTCGCCGGGTGGCGCTTGGTGGTCCCCGGAGGGCAGGGAGAGGGAAGGAGGAGCGAGGGCGTGGACCAGAGTCGTCGCGGCCGAGGCGTTTCACCTTCGCGGCTGCAGCGCTGGCGCCAAAACCAGACCCCGCCCACTTCCTCGCTTCTGGGGGTGGGTGCTTTCAAACGCTGGGGAGGGGTGGAGGAAAACTTAGCTCGGGGAGAATCGGGAGCTAATAAGGAGTGCCCCGTTCGGCCTACCCTCTCTGAAAACCTCCTAAACCCGAGAGGTGGACCCCAAAAATGTTAGCCAGGGTTATGTTGAGGGAACGTGAAGTGTAATTTGTTGACTAGAAGTCGCTTCGGGTTTTCCCGGAAGGGGCCGAGTTAGGCCTCAGCGGAGGAGGAAGGGCTGGGGGAGGAAAAACGCAGGGGGAGGCACGAAGGTTTTTATGGAGGGAGATTGCGAGGTGGGGGGATTATCAAAGTCAGTATTGCAGGGACCACTTCCCAGGTTGAGGAGGTTGGACATCTGGGCTGTGGATTAAGCTCCACCGACATCGTTAATTTCAAATTGCGCGACCGTTTCTCACCTGCCGTGCGCTAAAGCAGGGGCTGGACCCAATTCCAAGAAAGGAAAATACGCAGGACTCGAGCCTTCCGCAATTCACTGATCACATTTACGCAAGTGACGTCAAGCACTGCCGTTTGTCGCAAGGGAGGGAGGAGTACGTAGTTGGCGTAAAAAGGGCGTAGCGCTTTCCCGCTATTGGCGGCAGTTAGGACGTTTACGCAACGGCCTGACGTAAAGGCACGTTAGTTGGGGGGAAGGTTCTAGAAAAGCGGCGGCAGCGGCTCTAGCGCCAGTAGCAGCAGCGCCGGCTTGCCGTGCGGAGGCTCTTCTAGCGGTGTTGTTTCTCCAGCCGCGGTAGCTTTCACTACAGCGCCAGGACGAGTCCGGTTCGTGTTCGACCGCGGAGATCTCTCTCATCTCGCTCGGCTGCGGGAAATCGGGCTGAAGCGACTGAGTCCGCGATGGAGGTAACGGGTTTGAAATCAATGAGTTAATTGGAAAGGGCATGGCGAGGCCTTTGGCGCCTCAGTGGAAGTCGGCCACCCGCCTCGTGGGAAAGCGGCAGTGAGATGGGGCGACTTCAGAAGCGGTTGGTTTCGGGATATTTTTGAAGAGGGTATTTTGGCGGAGGCCTGTTAAACACCTTCCCCACCCTCAGCCGCCCGGCGCCATTTCCCTTTGCTGGGGGTGGGGGATGGGGATTTTCCACATGGCAAACGCAGCCCCATTTTAGTGAAAGTAAGGCGCGGAGGCGGGGGTTCTTATTTCCTTTTTAAAGCGGGCTGATTTGGGGGCCCCCGCATCTCCGCGTGCGAGCGTTTCGGCGGGCTTTGGGTCCTCCGGAGCGAGGCTGCGGAGCCTCCCCTCCCCCTCTCCTGGGAACCGGATTTGGCGGCCGCCATTTTCATTTCTCTCCTTCCTCGCCGCGTTTTTGTTTAAACTGTTTGAATTCTACTAGTTTGACCCTTTTATCAAAGAACAGAAGTGGTTAACTATTTTTCTTTCTTCTCGGGCTGATTTCATGCCGTTTTGAGGTGGATTCCGAGTGTTTTGTGAGCTTGGATCTTTTAAAGCCCTGCGCACCTCATTAGAGGCTTTCCTTTCCCCTCGATGAAATGGCGCCATTGCGTTCAGAAGCCACAGCGAAGAGCGCGCGGGGGGGGGGTCGGCTACAGGGTTGGTTCGCATGGCTTAAGAGGCGGTAAAGCGACCTCTGTGGTCTTGGGCCTAGTTATAAGGCGAGCCAGGGTGCAAAGAAAACATTTTGGTTTACGGCCCTTATTTCTTTGAGTAACGGTTTTTGTCTGGGCCTGCAGTGACTAAAAAGGCAGTTGTCTCGCAGAAAACTTTAGAAATAAAGAAATTTGGACCTATCAGATTAGTACCGACTATGTGGGTGGCAATGGGGAAGGAGGTGGTGATTTGTTTCAGAATCCTTTTCTCCCCTGAAGGATTCCCTTTAATGCTTTTATTGGAAAATTTGGTTTTTATTAAGACTACGGGTCTCATAAATGATTAGCGAGAAATTATGAGGAAAGGAAATAAACATGACTTTATCCTTAAGTTTTGTTTAAAACCCGACTCAGTCCTCCAGTGAGTGTATTGCTATATGCAACACTTTAGATTGGGCTGCTATGTATTTGAACTTGGTCACTTGTTATTCTCATTTACGTTTGCGATTACCGTTGGTCATTACATTGGTAAACATAAGGGACCAAGCGAAGGGGTCCTATCTGGGTATTTTCTTTGACCCTAAGCACGATTATAAAATAACTTTGTAATCGATAGTGGACAGTCGGGTAAGTTGGGGAAAAAATGAGGTAAGTAGTGAGTTTTTGTCTTCTAGCGATTTGTAGAAATTGTTGCAGATGTACTTTTATAAACTATTTGGGTTTTCAAAGACCTATTAACAGACAATACAATATTTAGAATAAGCTTAAGAATCCAAATACCAGTGTGCCGAATAATTAACGATTTTAATTGTTATTTAAATATATCAGAAGCTAGTTTGAGAATTTGTTAATCTCAAAATTTTTCAGATTCCTGAACCACAACTATGCAGAAAAAAATCTAAATTGCTCATCACTGAATTTTTTTGAGTTGGGACAATACGCTTGGAAGGAGTAACCTCCATAGAACTGGGTTGAGAGCTGTGATACTATTTACTAGTAATAAAGTATTTCCTGTTGTATTGGAAATTACACTTGATATTTTAGTTAGTATTGTGTAGTCTTAGTAGGTCCTCAACATTACACCTATTCTGGTTTCTGAAGGATTTTTTTTTAAGCATGTCACCTGAAAACGACCTTAATATAGGACTCTAAATGCAGTATATTTGCTTGCTGGTTTATAGGGGTTAAAATTAAAACATTTCAGCACAGGCTTGTTTCCTTTTTCCTTGTAAAATCACATTTCTGCATAGCATATGGGATGGCCACTAAGTTCAATACACTTGAGCTTTTCGGTGTTTGTGGGTTTTTTTTTTTAATGGATAAATTGTAAATAGTGATAAGGTTTAGATAAGCTTTAGTTGGTCATGAAAATTGGTCTTGGTCAGGAGAGGTAAATTTTGAGGATATTTTGCTACATATAATTGAACATTTAAGTTTTTACCCGGTGATGAGTTGAGTACATGGGGAAAGAATGATTCTTACTACGGTTTTTTTATTGCGTTGCATTAGACTTTCCACCAGAGGGAGCAATGAAGGGAATGTAAATCTTGTCACTTTTCAAAACTAAATCCTGGCTGTAAGGAACCAGTAATTTTTATATTAAAAAATACTCAAATTGGGCATTTAAAATGAACTTTTCTGTCTAGGATATAGGATTGAATGCAAATTCTGATGAGAATCCTTTAACCCTTCAATGACCAGGGAATAAATTTGCTCCTTTCTCTTCAGAAAGCTTTTTAAATTGATTAAATTTATTTGAAATAATTGCAAGTAAATTTAGATCAAGCATTAACAACTGAAACATGTAGTTTAGCTGAGGTAATTTTTCTTTTTTCGGTGTAACACAACTAATGCAGTTTAACATATGGTTTAAATTTGATGTCAGTCTTTTTTTTCCCTCCAGAAAACTTTAGAAACTCTTCCTTTGGAGAGGAAAAAGGTACTCTGCCAGCAGGTCACCTTATATTTAAGAATTTAATTTCCTGCATACAAAAGGGAAATGTAAATAAAAATTGAAATGGTGTTTTCCTTTGCAGAGAGAAAAGGAACAGTTCCGTAAACTCTTTATTGGTGGCTTGAGCTTTGAAACCACAGAAGAAAGTTTGAGGAATTACTACGAGCAATGGGGGAAACTTACAGACTGTGTGGTATGTTAAATATAAAAGTGCCTGCAGATACTAGCTTTTCAACTGCTGGAATTCTGTCTTGGAAATGCTAAGTGAATCCTGGAGAAAATCACATTTAAATCTGTGTCATTAAAAATGCTATTTGTGTTGCTAGTTCATAGTAGAAGTAATTAGATCAATTGCTAAAGTTTCCCCCTTTGGTTTTAAAGGTAATGAGAGATCCTGCAAGCAAAAGATCCAGAGGATTTGGTTTTGTAACTTTTTCATCCATGGCTGAGGTTGATGCTGCCATGGCTGCAAGACCTCATTCGATTGATGGGAGAGTGGTTGAGCCAAAACGTGCTGTTGCAAGAGAGGTGAGCACAGTGTAACTTGGTGCAATAAATGTGAAGAAAATTCTGTCCCAATGAAGGTTAGAATGTAGTTTTTTAAAGAATTGTCTTTTGGGTCTTGCTCAAAGTGTTTTATTTATTTTTTTTTATTAAAGCTATGGATGGGTTTCTCTGTTCTTTGGTTTCCTAGACCAGCTTGTTTTTCAAAAGACTAGGTTCTTACTCTAAGCTGTTGCTTCACCCTGCTTCATTTATGGTACCCAGAGGTAGGGTGCTTTTTAGTCATGTTTGTGGTTTTTTTCTGTCAGGATGACTTTTTTCTCCCACTACTACAGGAATCTGGAAAGCCAGGGGCTCATGTAACTGTGAAGAAGCTGTTTGTTGGTGGGATTAAAGAAGATACTGAGGAACATCATCTTAGAGATTACTTTGAGGAATATGGAAAAATTGATACCATTGAGATAATTACTGATAGGCAGTCTGGAAAGAAAAGAGGCTTTGGATTTGTTACTTTTGATGACCATGATCCTGTGGATAAGATTGTGTGTAAGTTTCTATAAGTACTAGGTGTATGGCTCTTTTTACAGATTAAATTTTGGCTATTTCAACACCTATACTTTATTCAAAGGTGAACTTTAAAGTAATTTTTATAAGTTACGACTTATAGAATGCTGGTTTAATGGAGTCTGAACTTTTCATTGCAGTGCAGAAATACCATACCATCAATGGTCATAATGCAGAAGTAAGAAAGGCTTTGTCTAGACAAGAAATGCAGGAGGTTCAAAGTTCTAGAAGTGGAAGAGGAGGTAACTTGAATTACATTTATCTTTTAAAATTTTACCTGTAATGCTTGTTACTAACGAGGGCATTTATTGTAGGCAACTTTGGTTTTGGAGATTCGCGCGGGGGCGGTGGAAATTTTGGGCCAGGACCAGGAAGTAACTTTAGAGGAGGATCAGGTAAGTTCAAGTTCTAAATGTTAGAGGGGCGAATGTGCTTGATGAAAAACTGGGATTCACTATTCCTAAGACTTTGTATCCTGGTGGGACACTCTGATTTGACCAGGCAAAAGGTAATAGCTAAAAGCATAATCTTCTAACTCTAATCAAGAATAATCCAGTGCAGATGTTTCTTTTCTGGTCTTTAATTTTAAAAAAAAATTAAATCAACGTTGCAATCACCTTAAAAAGTACGAGGTACTCCTGAATAGTGACTGAAAATACCATAGATGCTTTGCCTGTCGGCTTTAAAAGGTTTATATCTGTTAAATTTTTTTGCTTTAGGCTTCAGATAATCTATCTGAATAAAGTGTTGAGGTGCCAAACCAAAAACTTCTGTCTTCATTTAATGTCATTTCTATGTGTAGATAAATGGAATCTTTTAAATTGAGGATTGCCAAGTCCAACCCCTCAAATTAGGCAGTTAACCTTGATAGTGAGATTTTCATATTTCTGTGTTTATTTTTAAGAATAAAGTAGTAACACCACGGTGTTCAGCATAAAGGGAGATGGTTCCTAAGAATCATTAATGGATAACTAGTAGAGAATGTGGAGGAAAGGGAGATAAGAAAATGGAATAGGGTGAACAGTGAATAATGGATCATTTTCTTCTGCCCCTAACAGATGGCTATGGAAGTGGTCGTGGATTTGGGGATGGCTATAATGGGTATGGAGGAGGACCTGGAGGTCAGTGTTTTCTACAGTTTGGCTTGTATGATTTCAGATTTAATCACACACTATTCAGTTTAATGTATATCTGAAATTTTTCTTAATGTTTTACATTTTACTTTTCATTAAGAACTTAGGTGATAGGGGCTTAGTTATTTGGCCTTATAATACACATCTTAAGTTTTGTGTAGTTTAAGGAAAGAGTATACTTGTAGGTATTTAATACAGGTTGCAAAATCTTTGGGTGAATTTTAAATGAGAAAGTAAAAAAGCCATCATGCTATCCTGTTTCTCAAGCAAAAGAATAAGATAGACGTGATACTTCATATGCTGTGGTTTTTTGGGAAAAGTACAGAACTGTTTATGACGACCATGATCAACACATAAGGCCATATAACAACAGTTGTATAACAACTGTTGTCTTATCCCTTAACAAGATGATGAGTCCCTCAGGAAAACTTCTCAAATGTCACCAAAAGAACTTTTTCAAAATATACCAAGGTGCTCCTAGGTTCCACTAAGGTGGTGAGCCACCGTTATAATACATATCAAGTGATGCATTAGATGTTTTCTTAAAATACGGAAAAAGTTGATACCTGCTGACAAATGCCCTAGTAAGAAAGATGTTTAAAACTGAGCTAGTAATAGACCTGATTTTTGCCGCTCATGAGGCACAACTAAATTAAGTCCTCCATCTCACTCCCAACTTTGCTTTGAAATCCAAATATTTATTTATTTATTTATTTATTTATTTGAGAAAGATGAGTTCTTATACTTACTACAAGTAATGTGAGATTAACAAGACCAATTTGTTTTTGAATTAGCTGTAAGTTTGATAATTCCTGGTCTCCTTTTCCCTGTCCCCAATTTCTACCCAGGAGAAAGGGTAGTAGGCATATTATTTAAGAGGCATGATAACTCACGGTCGGGAAACATGAGTTGGGGATTTAATCTTTTGGACCAGTTGAGGAAATGTGCTGTTCTATTTTGCCTCACTAGTCTACACCTCATCAACCTTCACAGTCCTTAATATAAAATATAATATTTCAAGATACCTTCAGGAGAACCCTTAATTTTAGTTTTAGGGAAGAGCTAGGACATGGATAAAGGTTTTATCCAGTTGGTGGTTAGGTACTCCCCACCCGCAAAGGTTTACCAGGGAGATTCTATTCTGCCCTTGAGGCTATTGTAGAAAAAGTTTCATAGAACAAATACTTGACTTGTAAAAATGTGTTTTGGAAAGCTGGAAGTGGGTATGCTAAGACAGTTCAAATGGCATTGGAAATACTAAGTAATTAAAGGCTTATTTTATAATAGGTGGCAATTTTGGAGGTAGCCCTGGTTATGGAGGAGGAAGAGGAGGCTATGGTGGTGGAGGAGGACCTGGTTATGGCAACCAGGGTGGGGGCTACGGAGGTGGTTATGACAACTATGGAGGAGGTAACATTCACCTGCAACCTTTCTGGGGGAATTTGGACTGGAATTCGTGACTTAACCCAAGAGTTTTTCATTTTAATGTTGTCAGTAGTTGCCTTAAAAATTGTAGAATTTTAGATAGGTGTTTGCATTTATCCTGGTGATTTGTTTTTGTGGGAGAGTTGCCCTAAATATTTAGCATGTATCACTGGTTTAATGTTTGTATTATTCTGAGGTTCATTATGTATTTCAATTTTTTACAGGAAATTATGGAAGTGGCAATTACAATGATTTCGGAAATTATAACCAGCAACCTTCTAACTATGGTCCAATGAAGAGTGGAAATTTTGGTGGTAGCAGGAACATGGGGGGACCATATGGTGGAGGTAATTTCTTAGAGTCTTCAAATTACTTTGTGATTAAGAGAAAGGGTTAATAGTCTAGGGAAGGTAACATGCTAATTTGTTAGTTTATGTTGGGTAATATTTCCATTATATATAAGGTTACTGAAGTAATCTTTCCACAAATAACTTTAAAAAATTGTAACATCACTTTGAGGGCTATGTGTGATGTTCAGTGATATAAAATATTTGAATTGGGAAAACAGATTAGATATTTCTAACGTGTGGGGACTATTTTTTAACCCCTTGGTTAACTACTTCTTAGCCAAATAAAGTACATGGCAAAGTGGTATATGTTAGTATGAGTCATCTCTTTGAAAGTTAATTTAGTAAAAAAAATACAAATTTTTATTCAAACTATTGTTTTTTGTTTTTGAGAAAGTTGATAGTAGGACCAAAACAGATTTCTTCCGCCTGTAGGTATACTTCCTTAAAACCCTTAACTGTGACTTCAGTGATCATGGTAGACAACCAAAGAATAGCATCAGTAAAATGTTTCCAAATGGAAAGGAAAAAATTACCTATGACTCTGGATAATTTATCTCCTGAGTAATTGGGATAAATCGAGACAATGGGTGATGATCTGCTTGTTTTAGAGAGTAGGTATAAAGTAAAACCATAGTATCTGGCTAATCACTGGAGGTTGAAGTAAGTTTGCTTTCTCTTGTTCCATCAATTCTAGGAAACTATGGTCCTGGAGGAAGTGGTGGAGGAAGTGGGGGTTATGGAGGGAGAAGCCGATATTGAGCTTCTTCCTATTTGCCATGGGTAAGTAGCTTTTGAGTTTACATTATTATTATCTTGGGGAGACCTAGCTGCCAGGAATAAAAGCTTTTTAGGATCATGTTATCTTTCCTAAAAGTCTGGGTAGATGGATAATTTCATAACCTATTTTTTTTTTACTCTTTACTTCTGTTGAAACAGGCTTCACTGTATAAATAGGAGAGGATGAGAGCCCAGAGGTAACAGAACAGCTTCAGGTTATCGAAATAACAATGTTAAGGAAACTCTTATCTCAGTCATGCATAAGTATGCAGTGATATGGCAGAAGACACCAGAGCAGATGCAGAGAGCCATTTTGTGAATGGATTGGATTATTTAATAACATTACCTTACTGTGGAGGAAGGATTGTAAAAAAAAAAATGCCTTTGAGACAGTTTCTTAGCTTTTTAATTGTTGTTTCTTTCTAGTGGTCTTTGTAAGAGTGTAGAAGCATTCCTTCTTTGATAATGTTAAATTTGTAAGTTTCAGGTGACATGTGAAACCTTTTTTAAGATTTTTCTCAAAGTTTTGAAAAGCTATTAGCCAGGATCATGGTGTAATAAGACATAACGTTTTTCCTTTAAAAAATTTAAGTGCGTGTGTAGAGTTAAGAAGCTGTTGTACATTTATGATTTAATAAAATAATTCTAAAGGAAATTGTGTAATTATAGACTTTTTATTTTAAATAAGTTAAGGAGTGGGTAGTATAATTAAGGTCCATTGCAAAGCTGTTGTTAATATTTGTGTAAGATAAATGCTGGTCAGATATAAGTGTGTTGTCTGCAATTCCTCAGGATTAAATTATATAGATAACTTAAGGGATATCTCTGCAAGGAGAAACACCTTTTTAGATCTTTTAGATGCTGCTTCTTCAATGCAAGGAAAGGAAATAACCCCAGCGAGGTACTCTTCAGGGATGCAGGTCTAGTACAAGAAAACTCTTGACGGCTACTAAGTTCAGCCAGTCTTAAAAAACTGCTGTTTCTACAAAACTTTAACTACAGTAGTTTATAAGGATGCCAACGAAAGCTGAGGGTGTAGAGCAAAATAGTTCTAAGCTTCAGTTAAACTTCTTTAGGTAAGATCTTATTTACTTTTCCTTTCTTAATTTTCCTCCCCAAAAGATAAACTAATACTCTTCAATGGTCTTTCAGTATAGTGGTTCTTACGTAGTTTAACATAGCTATAAATTGAGTTTAACAATTTATAAACTCAAAAGAATAATTTTATAAACCCTGTTTTCCAATCTGTCATTTATTTAAATTATTTTGGTTGTTTTTCCCCTTTTTTCCTTCTTTCTCCCCCTTCCTCACCCTTCCCCTCCCCCCCCCAAAATGAAGATTCAGGTGCTTAACATATCATTTTTTTCCCTACTGGAATTTTAGCATTGATATGAACCATGGACAAGTATATTCTGCTGCCACAAAGACTAAAGTGCTTCATTTCAACAGCTGAGGCAAGCCAAGTGATCATTAATAAAGCTATTCTTGGTTCCTTCAGTGGTGTTGGTAGTAAAATGGTAGGTAAAAGTTAGGCTGCAAGTTCAATCATGAAATTTCCCATCGTTACACCCTTGTGTATTCACATTTCTTGGATCAAGCATTTTGAGTGAACCAGGGGTTTTTACTAAAAATAAAGACATTTTGTTTTATTTGATATGGTTGTAGGTTTACATGGCTTATCAGGATCAGGCTAAGGTAGGGCAAAATGGTTGAATCTATTTTCAGATAACATTTTATACTTAGAATAAACTCTGTCTACATTATAAATCCTGTATGTATCCAGTACTAAATACGTGGGTATAAATGTGGTAATTCTTTACCAATTCCCTACCTTATAGGAGAGATTTAGGTTGGCTGCTGAAATTCATTTCTTAAAAGTCATCAGTTTTGATTGCCTGGCTTTATTGCCTTTCCAGGAATGTGATAATCTGGGCATATTCTACTGTGTGCACCAGTGAGTCCTCTGATCCTAACACCATCACTGAAGTTATTTAGGCTCTTTGGACAAACATGATAAACTTCTTCAGATACTTTTTTTTTCCTTTGGCAGGAAGGTGTCTTGCTGCAGGTAACTAATGAAGAAGTGGTCAACCACAGAGTCTTCAAGAAATAAGAAATTCTGTACCATCTGAAAGTAGTTCTTGTTGGTGCCTTCATTTAAAAAGCACTCTTTAAGATTAAAGGGAAATGTTTTCTGATAAAAGTACAAATTTCATTTAGTATACAGGTTCTTAATATAAAACAATTACGAGTATTGTTTGTAACAGTAACATCAAATCAGCTAGAGAGAAATGTATCATGTTTTAAATTAGGTTTTGTGAGTAGACAGATTAAAATTCTATTTTAAATATAAAGTTGATAAAATAAATACTTTTGTATTCAAATATTTGGTGTAATGTTTACACATAAAATGTGTGAATCTTGTTCTATAAACATTCACTTGTCTAAAGGGTTGCCATCCCCTAGATTTTTTAAAGCACTTTCACAGAACTGCATATTGCCATTCTTTCAATATTGATAGACATGAGAAAAGCATTGTGGACATTATTGGCTGTCCCTAATAAAAATGCCATTCTTGATACACTATATTCAGCGTTTGAATACTGCTATACTGCTGTAGTTTTCTGGCTTTTCGATGTTTAACGTTGCTGATGGCGTTTTTTTAATGTATTACAGATTTTAACCAGCTAAAGTGGTTCCAAATTAAGTGGCTATGCAAAGCTTGAGACATACAATCTGCCATTATAGTTGTTCAAATATCAGTTCTATTGCATTTTACACGCAATATCAATAGCTGGCTGTCTTTAAAGGGTTAATAAGCATGGTGGATAAAATTTAATAACTGACTTAACTTGGACATTTACCTGAAATGGAGAAAAAACATGAAAGAAACAATACGGTTGACTTGTTTAAACTACAGTTTCTTTAGGTTTTGATAATGTGGTAAGTCACTAATGAAGACTAACAAGATGGGCTGTTAAAAATAGTAGCTGTATTTGTCAACTCATGAAAATTCTTGGCTTCAAATTAGGAAAGTAATTTTGAAGATTTTAAGTGTCTTGCTCTACAAAGAAGTTGAACTTTGAAGAAGGTAAAATCAAGTTGGTATATAACCTTAAAAACCCCAACCCTAAACCAGCACAAATGTGGAAACTTGATACATAATAAACCAAAATAAACTGTAAGTTTGCAGTAGGTAATGTTGAGGCATTTTACCTGTTTATTGAGCTGTTAATTTTCATTTTGGACTTGAGGTTAAGGTAGTTATTGTATAATCCTACACCGTTGAAAAAGTAAAGAACTTTAGAGTCCTGTTACATTTCACCTCAGGCTTAACCCTTATTGCTGCATAACACATTACTGCTGTATTTAGGAGCAGTTTCCACCAACAATAAAATTGTGCCCTCACAGTATCTGGGTCAACAATTAGGAAGCAGTTCAGCTGGGTGATTCTCTCTGAAGCTCAAGGTGGCTGGCAAGTTGGTTTTGGCTGTTTCCCCTATAGTGATCTATCCAAGAGAGAGTCCTCAAAATATGACCAGTGTTTGGAACTCTCATAGTTTGATGGTCACATAGAGGGTTTTAATTGCATGGTTACCAAGAGGCAAGCAGCATTTGGGGCTGGCTCCCTTTCTGAATGTTGGCTTGTGAAAATTTTTGAATCCAAGTTTGGTGTAGGAATACAAGTTAGGTTGGTTGGCCTGTAAAAGTGATCTTGACAATTGCTACTTGTACTAGATACTTAAATTACTGAGCAAGTTTCAGTAATTTAAGGATTCTTTAAAAGAAACATGTCAGTTCCTAATAGTTCAAAGTGGGTATGTCTTTGCAGGAAGTAGAAAACGAATCCTTAGCTTAATTTTGTTGCATGCCTTAAAGATCATTGGTTTATCATGCACTCAGATGGTTGACAAACCCCATAAAAATTTAATGCCATAACACTAGTACTGCAACTAAAGCTTGGCTGGAACTGGGTTTTTCACTAAATCTAGTTGAATAAGTGCAGTGAGTGGATTAGCCAAGGAAGCAAATTCTATTGAAATGGGGATGGCCATGAGGCTGATGCAGCCATTTAAAAATAAAGGCCCTAATAGGCACCATAGGTTGATAGTTCTGTCTTCTAAAGGTCAGTGGGACAAAGGACAAATGAGATGGAGCATCTGGCTATTCAGATTTAAATTTTCAACATGCTGGAGGAATGATTTCAGTAACCAATTTCCTGTAGTTTGGGAGGTAAGAACAGCTGCGTAGGAAACAATTCAAAAAGTGGAATTTAGATTTGGGCCAGGCTACTTGCAAGTTCAGAAGAGTGAAAAAGGCCTCCCAGAAAATGTACTTGGAGGCGGCCAAGGACTGACAAGATCTATATAAGTAAACATTACTAATCTTAACAGTTCTTAGTGGTCCCCTTGAGGTTTTTAAAAACCCCATAGCAAATACTTGGGAACACATTTTGGGGTCTGTTTTGATGGAATTGTTTTTCAGTTCCAACAGCTTCAATTAGCTTGGCCTTTAGGAACCAAGCGGAATAGACTGGATTCCTCTCTTTTTCATAACACCCCCATCTATTCCTGAATTCCAGGATAACTGCATGTTTTTCAGTCAACCTTAAGAGGGAGTCAGCCTAAAGTATTTTAAGGTCTCCACTGCTAAAACTGCGATATCAATGGTAGAGTAAGCTGCTTCAATTTACCTGTTCTGAATCCATTGTGATGTATGGCAGTGTCAGGAAACAGGTTTGATTTGTCCCGACGTTACAACACACCAAACACGTTTCAGGCTCAAACTGTTTAATCTTAAGTACTTTGTATTTGAGTCCCAGCTTTACTACATGCCCTTTATTTCCTTGCCAATTTGATGTTCATCTATTTCATTGTGGTCTTCAGGAGTCTTGACAAGTAGGCACTGAACAGCTGAGTAAGGCTACCAGCAGTTTTTAAATCAAGTTAGTTGGTGCTGTGAAGCTGTAATCTACCAAAGGTTACGGTATCGGGGGGTATGCTCCCTTGTAAAACCTCAACAGATTTAAGAGAGCATTGTACAAAACTGGTCAGAAGAGGGATTGTATCTAAAAGCATCTGGTGGGGAAATCTAGGGCTTGAAAGAAATGTGTAGGCCAAATTTAAAATGGAAAGTTTATTATAAAAAGCCACTCAACAATACACTGCATTTCTGTAACCCAAGGTAATACTTTGACTTGTGACTTCATTGTTAGGCATATAATTCTAATGTAGAAATGTGTTGACAACTTTGATTTTCCTAGTTTTGAAATCAAACAGTTATACACGTTATTTTCATTCCAATGACAGGATTAATGGTTTTTAGTATTTCCAGTTTTTTGGTTGTAGAGTCAGTGCTTATCTACTGGCACCACTTCCCTTACTGATGGTTTGTGTTCTTGTATGGCTTGTAATGTTATCACATTAAGCCATGTGACTGAGACATACATACTGGCTTTACCTGGCCAGAGTTCTAGTTTACTATACACAGGCTAGCTCTGCCCTGTCTGACTTTGTCTTCAGCCATTAAAGCCTAATACTTTTTTTTTTTGGACACATTGGTTTAGAGCTTATATAATATTCTCTTAGCTCCTGTACCAGTTTAACATATTGTATTAACTTTAATGTGGCTTGAATCTAACATGCTGCCCTATTTGCTAGCTACCTGTATTCCTGAATGGGTATTTTGGAGAAAAAAGCATCCAAGGTAAATTTGCTTAGAATTTTTATAAATTGAAATACAAAATTTATTTTCACAGAAACTATAAGTACTCATAAAAATTAAAATAGCTTTTGAAAAGCTCAGTAAACTTCAGTGCTAAATGAGTGTGAAAGCTACTTTGCATTGAAAGTTAAATACTTTGTTTGGTTTTGTTGTTTTTTGTTTTTTAGCTGAGCCATCCTGCCACCTGTTGGTAGCTCAGCTCAGGTCGGGAATCAAATCGGCAATCACTCTTGAGCAAGCTCTTAACCAACTGAGCCACTCTGCTGGCCCTTGAAATACATTTTTAAAATAATACATTGTTTGCTCTTTGTTGTAACCATCTTAAGAAAAAATTACTACCAAAGTGGAGTCATAACCAAATTTTCATCCTATTTGTACATATTTATGAATTGTGTACATAATGTAGGACTTCATGAAAAGTGGCTTTCCCCAGTTTTCCCACAAGGCTGATCTTGCAGTACTTGATTTTTGTAACACTTGAACTAAGAAGTTTCATTGGTTTGTGACCATATATTTCTTCTGAACATCACCATTTTATACATATTAATGGGGGACCCATTTTCAATTTCTTCTCTCACCTTTTCTCTTTGCCTTTTGGTTTTCCTTTTTGTGGCCTGAGGTCACCAGTTCCTTGGGTACAACCCAAACACTTCCATCATGGCTGCATTGAAGAGTGTATTGGTTTGGATTGACCGGCCTACCTTCCTCATCTCTTAACCTACTAAAGATATCATGATAAAGGTCATGCAGTTTCTGTTTCATTATGTTAATAGCTTTGTTACACTGGGCTCGCTCTCTCTTGAGAGTCTCCTTCTCTGCTTGCAAGTTACATACATCATCTTCTAGATTCAAAATTATGTCCAGTTTGCGCTTACGACAGTTCTGAGCAGCAACTTTATTTTTCCCTCTTCGTCTGATATCACGGATGAGTGATACCTGTAAATCTGTCAGGTAGTACCTGCTTAGCATGCTGTTGAAAGAATCAACAGGCATGCGGACAATTTCATCTACAGAAAAGGGGATGTGTAGAGCTTTAGCACGGCGTTCATCACGGCTTAAACTGGTGTCATTCAGGTACCTACTTTTTACTTTTTGTGATTTCCCAGGCCATGAAAAATATTCAGGAGTGGATTCTGATGTACTTGGTTGTAAATGGTAAGTGTGGTTATGGAATATATGTTGAAATGCAAGGTCCCCATGGAAACCAGAACCACTCCTATGATCCACTTGACAAAGCTTACTGGACTCTGGGCAGTAGCCTCCTACAGCGCCTTCTAAGGCATGGTGGGAAAGCGATTCAACATCACTACTAGAACCTATAGCACCTTCACACACAGAAGAATTAGACTTGGTGATAGAGGGGCTATCGTGGTTTGAATTGAAAGAAAGCCCCGAATCAGAATCTGGTTCTTCAAAAAGGTGAGAAACTTCCATTGGATCAAAACCTTCTGTAGCCAAAGACATTAAATTTATCTCATCAAATATGTTCATATCAAGGTCATACAGGTCTTGGCTTGTTAAATTCCTCATCTGATGGTCAGGAAGTGGGAGAAATCCTGTCAGATTAGTTCCAGGAAGGGTCTGTTCAGGATTGGTGTTAAGAGAATTGAACTGTAGAAACGGTTCTTGGGGCTGTGAAGTCCTCGCTATTGGATCTCTTCTAAATGTACTGTCAGGACACAGCAACATGGCCTCGTGAAGATTCACATCGTGACTGATAGCCTGGCTAAAATTGATGTTATAATGTGCTGAATTTATGCCATCATTGATACTTCCTGGAAGAGGAATATCTCCCAGTGAGATGCCCTGAAAAAGAAAGGGAAAGAAACACTTTAATACACATAACCCAGTCTCAACAGCAATTCTAATGCTTGACAGCATTTTCTTGCCTCACTTGTGAATTCCTTTATGCAAATAGGGATATAAGTTGGCCGTGAATAGCTTTCCACAGTTAAATAATTCAGGCAACAATATGTGATGTGAGCCCAAATCAGAATATGCTACACTTGGAGGAAGATTTGTTTTTCCAATACAGCAATTTAGAAAACTTGATTTAAGTTAGTAAAAAGCTGGTTTTGTTCGTCATTCTAATGTTTTACTGTACCTTACTATATTAAATGCAACTCTTGTCCTAGCTGTTGGCCATCTAAATTCACATAAGTTACAGTGAAGTAGTGGGTGTGTGTGTGTGTGTGTGGGGGGGGCTTCTAAAGTAAATCAGACCAAATGTGATGAAAACAAATTCCACCAAAAAGTTATGCCCTAGTTTGTCAAATGTTTACTGCCATTTTGATTCAATATGAATTACATGAATTGGGTTATACCTTTGTGGTCATTACTGGGAGGAACTATATTTGTTTAATTCTCCAAAGTTGAAGTGTATCTGTAAAGAAGAATCTTAAATAATGTGGTAGATGTTAATTGTTACATAAGGATGTCATCCAGGTAAAAAAGTTACTTTATAGAAGTCAGTGCAGATATTTTCCTGCAAGAATAGAAACCAAGGTTCCAATTACCTCGGGTGAATTTTCAGGCTGTGATGAAAGCAACTGAGAAAAGGCTTCCAGAGAGAAAGATGTGTCGGTCGCATTTAGATGTCTCTGAAAGAAACAAGGTATATCATTTACAACACTGAAACTGGTTGCCTGGGTCTTTGTTTTATCTTGAAAGGACAACCAGATCTTACCTCCATCCTGCCCTTCATATGATTTTTGGCTAGTATTGTTAGTTCCACCTTAGTTTGCCCCTCCACAGCCAACCCTACAAATTTCATACAAAATTATATAATTTTACAGTTAAGTTGTATTTAGATTTACCGCAGTGTGTTACCAACTTCTGTACTCATCATTGTGCTTTATCCTGCCTTAGGAGATCTCCCTTCTTGTTGAAATAACTGCTTTGATAGTTCTAGTAAACTTAGTTTTCATATATAGCCTAGAATTATTTCACCTTCATGCTTAAATGATAGTTTATCTGGTAAGATGATCAAGTTTAATGTTTCCCTTCAGTACTTGGTCCTATGGCATTCATTACTATTGATGTGTTTGCAAATCTCGTTTTATATCTTTTTTTCCTCAAGTAATTTTCAAGATTTTTTTCTTCCTCTTTGTTGTCTTGCCATTTCACTGACAGGTCTTGGACTTTGCATTTAGTCTGGTTGGGATTCTGTGTTCCTTTAATCTGAGTCATAAGATCATTCTAATTTTGGAAGTAATTTTGACACAAACCCTTTGAATACTTGCTAGTCTCTCCTGGGACTATTAGAATAACTTTTCATTTATGTTTAAAGGTGAGCTCATCTTTGTTGAGAGCTATCAGTGTAGGAGTCCCACATATCAAGGGTTACCAACTAACTGTAAGGTAGTTTTGTGTTTTTCTCTGCAAGGACCAGTTTTTTATATCATCTAAACTGCTTTCTTGGCTCAGGACTCCTTATGGCAATGGTAGTGTGGATTCAGTTTATATCTGGCTTTGGGGCCCATTTGGGGTTCTGTTTCCCAAAGGACAGACAGCTTCCTTGCTCTGTCTCCAGTCTGATGGCTAGAATCGTCCTAGTTCCCATTTCCTGAACCGAAGAACCTTTAAACAGGGAACTCTCAGGTGCACAGGTTTGGGTTTGAGATCTCATTTCCTATCCATCCAACTCCAGTCTCATTTATGACATTTGGATCCAATTGTTCCTTGGGGCTCTACAGTTTTGGTGCCTGATTATCTTATTGTGGATTTTGAGTTCCCTCGTTTCTATCTCTAGTTTCCCTTTCTTTAGCGTTCTGCTATGTATTTAAAAATATTATCCATTATATTTTATCCAGGATTACTGTTTTTGGTGTGTCATGGGGGTTATCTTTACATGTTAGCAAGTGCATATTCCTGACTTGTGCTGTGCATTAGTCCCGCCCCTAACTTTTTACTTTAGGGTTTCTTTTTTTGGAGGATTCGGACCAGTTGGACTGAAGTGTAGTGTACATACAAATACTTCGTTTCCTTTTCCACCAAATACCTTGGGTTCTATGAAGCCATGTTTTCAAGGTATTTCATCATAATACAAGCAGTACAAGGCTTCCTGTGTCAATTTCTGTGGATGCTATAGGACTATGTAAGCTAAATTGTTGGATGAGATTTCTTGCTCTTTAACTGGCAAATTATGCATTCTTAGGGGATAGGAGACTTTGCCAATACTGTTCTGTAAATGACCCAAAACTTGATGGATTAGTCCTGGCCAACCATTGACCAAAATTTGTTCATGGTCACAAGTGTGTGACAATGGATGACAGCATAAACCTGGATTCCTGCAAAAACAATCTGTAATATTGGGTAAATAACATTATTTTCAAAAACTAAAGCTGTAATATTTAGAAAGTATAAGTAACAGTATGAGGATCACTCTGCTTAAAGTGAGTTACAGACTGATCCCTTCAAGCTAGTCAGAATTGTGTTTCACTAAACCTTTTTGCCTGTTCCCTCTCCAGTGCCCTTGGAGATGATGGGCTGAGGTCTAACCCCTCCTACCCAGCCCTCTGGTTGGGTGCACTGAAGACAGCGAGCGGTGGGAGGGGCAATCGCGTGCCTTACAGACAGCAGCTTCAGCAGCGTGTCGTCAGTTCCAGCTCTCACTGAGCCCCCGTTCTCCCCAGGTTCCCCTCTGTCCTGATGCTGGAAATGGCTTCATGTTGTTGCTAGTCCCTGGGAGCCTCCTTGTTTCTTGGTGTTTCCCTTATACCTGCCCTCACCTCTGTTAAAGAAAATCCCCTCGTTTACTTCTCTTCAGAACCTCACTGACATGTCTGTCTGAGAGCCTTAACTGAACAGCATTCTATTTGAAATCACTATGCAACTGAATTCTAATATGAGTTCAATTTAGATTGCAAGGAAATGGTATGGTTTTTTTCTTAAGTCAGACCTTAATAATTCTCCTTTGGAAGTCTTAACATGAAATACCAACACACAGTTCTGATTTGGGTGAAGAATCCACTGCATTTTGACAGACATCACTAGGAGTATTTAGAGAACATGGAGGACACCCACTTCACTTGAAAAGACATCTTAAAAGACGAAACATTAATATAAACTCAACTTGTCTTTAGTGAGAAGAAAATCTCTTCAGATCAGTTAACCTACTTCTCAGTAGCCAGCTGTCTAAGTCGGCCTGCAATGGGGCCAGAAAGAAGTCACTGCTAAGGAGCAAATATGGCAGTCAGCCCTAGTTAACTACCCAGGGTTGTCACCTGAAAGAACTGAAATAAACGCCAGTGGTTTACTTGATTAGACAACTCATTACTGTTTTATTTCAACAAACTAATAAGAGCACCTAGTAAGTAACATCTCAGTAAGAGTAGACAGGTGTACTAACATCAGAAGCTCCTATGAGAAATGTGTGATTCACAGTACACAGGTGTGGTGTAAATGCAAACTACGCAAGATGCCCAGGCCAGGCACATGGAGGTACAGACAGGAGGCGAGCCTGCTACCACGGAATAAGGCACAGATGCCTTGCTTTGAGTGATGAAATGTGTTTCTAGAGAGTTTTATCCAAACTGATATTTGTTGCAATTCAAATTATATTTTAATTTCTCTAAGGAAGCTCCCCACTTCACCTGTCTTCATTAGTACTTAATGAGTGCCGACCTATGCTCCTACCTAGCAATGAGTTGCTTCAGGTAATGCAAACAAGTAGGAAGCACAGTTCCGGCTTTTCTGAGAAGCCCAGCAAGGGAGTAAGGAAAGGCAATGGCATACCCAGGAGAAAAATGGACCAACCACGTATGCTATCTATCTGTATACACTGAAGTGATGGCCTGTGATAAAAACATCTCCCTCAAAAAAGACTGTGAGGAAGAGGCACTCAGGAACGTGGGCTGAAATGTCTCCTTAAAAGCAAATGTTCTTCAGTATTTTGTTAAAGTTCACTGGCACTGATGTGACTAATGCTGGGTGGGGTGGGGGTGTAAAGCCACACCAAGGGTACCTGAACTGTGAGGAAATACAAGGCCTGCACTTCAAAGTGAAATGCAAGGCTGCAATGGGGCCCTCCCTCAATTGAAGGTTCTAAAGGGGTCGTATGAAGCCTAAGAGGTTAGGGAGTGAGAATGGGAAGGTTCTTCGGGGTGAGCTTCCCTCGCACCTGAAGACAAGCAAAAAGGGACTCCAGGAGTCCAGGGACTCACTTAGAAACATCCTGTGTGTTCCCTGCAGTTTGGGGAACACAGTACAAGAGTGTCCAGAGCCTGCCTGAGAAACATGACGGGCAAGGGGCTGAGTAAGGGAGGTGACGGGATTGTGGAAGGGGGCGAGGTTGCAGGACCAGCTGCTGGGGAGCAGCGTGTGGTTGAGAGGGCCACCTGGAGCGGGGATGAATGCCACTGCAGGAATGCAGGAAGGACTCCAAAAGGTCATCTGGAGGTGAAGAGGGATTTGTCCTTCGCAACAGAAGGGCAGATGTGGGGGTAGGGGTCTCAAAGGAACTTAGGAAATGAAAGTGCCCATCCAACAAAAACAGTTTTAAATACGTATATCCTATGGTAAAGAGAAACCAGTGTCAAAATGATGCCAGTCAAGCAACACCTTGCCTGAGCCCTTACTACCCCACCACACCCCAGAAGACAGCCTAGTGAGCAAGAGAGTGGAACTGGGGAAAGAGACAAACCGCCACACGCAGGAGAGGCTTTGAGGCCGCAGCACATGAGACAGGAGGAGGGGATAAGCCGAATTTCAGTTCAGAGTTTTCGAGAATCACTGGATTATATAGATCAATTGCTGCACTGAAATGACCAGAGAGATTTTTATCTGATTATCTAAAGTCATGGTGACTGCCCTGGATTTCACCCAAGGTGCAGGGAAGAACTAATTCCTAGGACAGAACAGCCTGGAGGGGCGGTAATGGTAGGTGAGCAAAAAGGGTAAAGCTGTGTTCTGATTTTACTCCGTTAATCTTATAATGTTCAATGCGATGTTACATGGTCAAGGCGACAGTGATGATGGACTATCTGACAAGGGCCAATTCATGGTACCCTCTCCATCCTACAAGGGTGTTCAAGGCACAGCCCCAAAACACCACCTGGGGTGAGTCATGGTTCAGACTGCCATCACGAAAAGTCCTGCAGGGGTGCCCTGTGGGTGATTTGCTTGCAGGGTGGGTCTTGTGGTTTGCTGTACCAGACCTGGCCAGCCTGGTCTGAGTGAGTGAGGGTTCCTGGATTCAGGATGCCAGCCATCACTTCATCCCTTGCCATAGCAAACACAACTAATAAAACCTGCTAGCAGGTTCCTGGAGGGGTGTAGGTGTACAACACACACGTACACACACATACTCAGTCTCTCACACAGTATCTTGAGTTTAACCAGAGATAATTCTATGGGCTGATTCCTTTGTAAATCAACCATTCCCATAATTTAAAAAATACGTATTTTCATACACCAGATTTGCTTACAGTAGCTCTCACACCTACATACAAAGTTCATTCTCAACACACATTATCAGAGCCTTACGAAATCTACTTTAAGGCCCAAATCTAAGGTGAGGCTGGAATATTCTGACATGCTTACCTCATTTCTAGATTCAGTGGTCTTTTCTGCCTCCCACTCAGGTTTATCAGCTATTTTATTTTCATCTTCATTCTCCTGGAGTGATTTTTCCTTCTGGGCTGACACTCTTTGCTCATTTTCCTCATGCAGGGAACTGTGACCCATAGCTCTTAGTACCTCATTCTCCTATAAAAGTACCCCAAAATAGGCTAAGTAGAAATCCATAATTCATCAAATAGGGCAAACAATCTTTACAACTGCATTGTACTTACTGCTCAGTGGTCATGAAAACCCACAAGTCAAAAGCTAAGACGGGCATTTCATTATTTCGGTATGAGAAATATTTAATTCTGAAACAGCTCAGTTTTGCGTTCTGTCCTTTAGATCTTGCTGTGAGACATGCTGTTCTAATATGCGTAATTTAAATTATGCACAACTATAAAGCCCCTGAGTATAACATATTTGCAAATTTTATTAGATTTGGAAAGCACTGTTTCCAGCAGGCAGTTTTTATTCAGTTTTCTGTTGAAAATAGATCAAACACCTATGTTAAAAGCAAATACTGATCAAAATATACGTAGAAAAATCTGGAAAGTTTTGCTAGAAGGTATTAATTGTGGTTCTGTCTTAAAAGTGGGATGATGGGTTGGGGCAGGGTGTTAAAAGAGGTCACTTTATACATCGCTGTATACTGTTTGAATATTTTGCAACAAACGTGTATTTCTTTTACAATCAGGAAAAAGGGAAATGTATTTTTCTTTTGAGAAAAAGGTAACAGCTTAAACTAACATCTCCATAGATATTTTCAACTATGCTTAATTACCCAGATAAGTCCTTCCACCTTTTAATTTACTTTAATTGGGGAGACGTAAATATTAAAAGGCTAGAGAGTTCTATCTAAACATTCAAATAGTTACCATTTAGCATATGTTGGATACACTGATACTTCCAATTATAATATGAAAAGCTCTCTCTATAGCTTTTCCCCTCTAACAACACCAAGGCTTCTCAAAATCATTCAAAGGATCTATTTTTAATTTCTCTTTTCCAACAACAGAGCACACTGAGCTACAGCATAGAACACCACCATTGCCCCCTCCTCCCAACCACAGAAATAACTGAATGTGTGCAAGTCAAAGAAATGGAAATCCAGATGCCAGAAGACGGGAGAGAAATCAAAGAGCAGGGAGGAGAAGTGGGTGTGCTGGTGGCCCAGCTGGTTTTCACTCGCTTCTCTGCTCACTGTCCCTAACTCCATGACACACTCAGCCCCCTCTGGGCACTGGATGTCCTCCCCGCTCCTACCTCTATCTCAATCACCCTGTCTGTTGGTGCGCCTGTTTGTGGGGAGCTCCTGTGATCAAGAACATCTTCCTGCTCCTCTACCCTCTTTTCTGCCCCCACAGTGGTTTCCTGTCTATTGGATAATTCCCATCAGCCTATTAACATACACCACCACCTCCTCCGTGGTCTTACATTACTCTTTAGATCCCATCCCGTTTTTCTGCTCCCTTTTAGAGCCAAATCCTAGAGCACGACCCGGACTCAGTGCATTCTCTCTGGAGCCTATTCCAAGGAGGACTGTGTCCCCACCACTCCCCTGAAACAGCTCCTCAGGGCCTCCCAGTCAGCTTAGTTCTCCATCTTCGCCTTGCTTGACCCATCGACAACTTTCACTTAGTTACTCCCTCCTGGAAACAGGTTCTTTACCACATCCAAGTACCTTCTCTTTATTCGCCTACCTCACCAAATACTTCTCCTTTGTTGATATTTCATCTTTATTTACTATCTCTACACATGGCAATGGCCTGCAGGGCTCTAACTCTGCTCGCTTCCCCCCTCCACCCCGTGGCTTCCCCTTTAGGTCCCTATTCAAATACTACCAGCTCACTTTTCTTTTTAAGCGTACTCGATAAAAAAAGCGCCTCTCCCATCACTATGTAGCCCTCTTGTGTTGCTTAACTTTTCCCATAGCATCCATTGAGCACCAGCTGATACGTTGCCATATTTATTTGTTTGGTGTCTATCTGTCCCACTAGAATGCTGGCCTTGAGGACAGGGGGTCCAGCTGCCTCGTTCCTGCTCATGCCGTGCAGTAGACCCTTAAAGGGATATTTGATGAACAAGCTCCTAGACACAGCATACCAAGAGGCTGGGAGGGACTGGCTTCTGATGGGTGAGATACCAGTCTTGCTCTTTCCTGCAATTACAATGCTGATTCGAATTTAAATTTGGGGAAGGGAGGAAAAGGTCATTACGCTTTTATCCTCTAGCTTTTGCCATGGTAAGGTTTCTTTTGTTAAGCCAGCACATAGTAAAACTCAAAATTCTGTATTCCTGAGGCCGTTGGCTTTGGTTACAATTTTGCTTTTGGTGGGCAAAGGATGTATTTTGGAACCATGAAGCAAGGTACCCTTAGTCTGTAACATGTCAGTTAATACAAGCGTGGCCACACACATGAACTTGTAAACATTAATAAACAATGACAGAGGGAACTAATACAGGACTAGAGGAAGCCCATAAGGAAACTGATCAAGTCAAGTCTTTTTTGAGGAGAAAACTTTATTTTAAAGTGTATGAGAGGTTGGTAACATAAGTATGTAAGATGGCCTGCCTAAAAACTTGGGGAGAGAAGAACTGAAAGAGAGACGTTCCGTGCAATCACAACTCACATGCAAGAATAAAAAATGAGGTTAAAAGGCCTATCATAGAATAACGGATCATATCTAACTCATTAAATGAGTTAAAGAGAATCAATTAATCCATTTGAATATAAACAAACAAGTAAATGAGGAACAAGGGAAATCTCTTCCTTACAGTAGCATGCAACTATTATAATAAATATAGAAGGATGATGGAGTTAGAAAATCATCAATGGATGCTAAAACTAGGGAGTAAAAATTGGCTGAGAAACAAGACATTTAGTCTCAAAGCATCACTCCACAGGGAAAGGAGAAACCTGGCAAACACCATCTAAATAAGCCACGTGGTCAAACCTAGCACCATAATCTGGAGATAAACCAACCAACATCCTGCGCCTCCTGACATGGTACGAAGGACACATTACCACCTCCAAAAATTCATGATCTTAATGTAATCATGAGGAAATGTCAGACATGTAATAACTGGGACATTTTACAAAGTAACTGATTGATAATCTTCCAAAATTTAAAGGTCAAGATATACCTAGGCAGAAGAAAAATTTCCAGATTAAAGGTGACTAAGATACTTATTTGACAGCTAAATGCAATGGGTGATCCTGGGTTAGATGCTGACTGACCGAGCAGAAACAGCTCTATATGACGCTACTGGAGCAATAGATAAAATTGGAATATGGACAGATTAGATAATAGTCTTAGATTCATGCTAAATTTCCTGATTTTGATAATTGGTTATAGAGAAAATCTTGTTTTTAGGAAAGAGACACGAAAGTATCTGGGTAATCGGGCCCAATGGCTTCAATTCACTCTTAAATGTTTCAGAACAAAAAGAATTATGTGCTGTATGTACATATATATACAGAGAAAGATATAATTAGAAGAGCAGATAAGTCAAATGTTAACAATAGGCAAATCTGAGTAAAGGACCTATATACCATTCTTGCAAGTTTTCTTCTTTAATTAAAAAGTTATTCTGGGGCCGGCCGAGTGGCGCATTGGTTAAGAGCTGGCTTGGGAGCACAAGCTCTGAGCAGCAGGGCCCCGGTTTAGATCCCACATGAGGGCCAGTGACACTGCGCCCTCTACAGCTAAGATGATGAACAATAGCTTGACCTGGAGCTGGGTTGCCGTGAGTTGCCGGTGACGTAGGCTGCAGCCCCTGCTGCAGTGGGCTGCCTTAAGCTACAGTGAGCCGCTGGCAGCCGGCATGAGCGGCCGTCCAATGGCTGGTGACCGACTGCCTCACGCGGGAGGAGCACAATAATACTAACATGGGCCAGGGAAGCGACATCCTCCACAACTAGACTGAAGAACAAAAAGACAACAATTTGTCTGTTCCCCTTCCCCGATTCCCCAACGCTGTTCCCCTCTCAATCCTCCAATAAAATTTTTTTAAAAAGTGATCCTAAAAACCCCTACATAGCAAAATCACTTTGGCCAAGGCAGTTGCAAAGGGTCACCCCAGAACTGTTCTTCCTTTAAAATTGCTGTTAATCTACACCTCCCTGCCGAAGTGTACAGTCTTATCAACAGCTTTAATAATTATTTTCACCTTTCTTCCCAACACTTAAATTTCGTTTTCTTGTGTAATTGTTTTGGCTATGCGTCTGGGATAACGTTCAACAATAATGGCGATGCCTGATGTAAAGGGAAGTACTGTCTCACTCTCAACACTCTGCTACGCCACCTCACTGCTCACACCAAGCAATTCTGCGACCCCAGCTGGGTGTTGTAAGAGAGCAGAATTTGCCACCTCACAGTGTCTTTTTGATATAAGGATTATTATAGGCAGGTTATTTTTAAGAAACAACAGACTTGAGAGGAGCTCTGAGCTCTGAAAACCAAGTAGAAGTTACTCTTTGTTGTTAAGAGGTATTTACATGTATAAGGGACATCTCCATTTGGAAGGGCATCTCCCAAGCTGTGCCAGGGAGAGGGGGATGACTCAATCTCTAGTAATCAATGGGGAGGGCAATGACTTAAATCTGCACAACCCCCTCACCCACGTTCACTGTGTCTTTCCTGGTAACCTCCCCAAACTGACCCCTCCTCCCCCAACATCATTTGCCTTCAGTTGAGGATGGTATCTAAGTTGATGACTTCCGCCATTTCCGTGTGAGTTGTATCCTCACTTTTCCTGGGTCTCTCCCCTGTATACGGAGGTACACGTTACTAAACTTTTTCTCCTGTTAATCTGCCTTAATTATCAGACCAAAGAACAGAGAAGGGAAGAAAGAAATTGTTCCTCCCCATCAGTATCCAGTAATTTAACTCAATTCTGACATGATCTACCTGGAGACAGGCCCCATTGGTTAAGGGCTCAGTCCCACAAGACTGCTGAATTTCCCCCACCCCCCCTTTCAGATGCCAACTGCAAGTCGAGGTTGTCACCTGTACTTCCAACCAACTGGCTATAAATCAGAGGTTCCCATGACCCACTCTTTGGGTTCAATTAATTTGCTAGAGCGGTTCAATTAATTTGCAGATCTTAGGAAGACATTTTACTTACTAGATTACTGTTTTATTATAAAAGGACACACAACTCAGGAACAACAAAGTGTATAGTGCAAGGTATGTGGGAAAGGATGGAGCTCCCGTGCCCTCTGTGGGCACATCGCTCCTCAGGCACCTCCACAGACATGTTCCCTAACCGGAAGCTCTCCACCCCTGGCCTTTTCCATAGGCAGCCATGCCCATCATTACAAGGGCATGGATGATTAAATCATCGGCTTTGGTGCTTGAACTCAATCTCCAGTTGTTCTCACTTCTCCAGAGGTCTGGGGCTGAAAGTTCAACCTCCTAATCATAGTTGGTTCCCATAGCAACCAGCACTCATCCTGGGGGCTTTCCAAAAGTCCCCTCATTCATGTAAATCAGGTGTGGCTGAAAGGGGCTTGTTATGAATAATAAGATACTCCTTTTTACCTTTATGGCTCAGTTTCTATTTCAGAAACTGAGGACAAAAGACCAAATATTGTAACAAAAGGTGCATTGCTCTTAACTTTTAGGAGATTCCAAGGGCTTGAAGAGCTCTGGGCCTGAAAGGAAAAGGAAAACCAAATACATATTTAAATCACATCACCTAACATTCTTATCATCTTGCTCATGAAATTTAATGGGAATGCTTTGAATTGGTAGGAATTTCAATCACCACAAACATCTTTGAAAGGCCATCAAATGAAAAATGCACATATCTATTGAGTGCCAAATACCACAGTAGAAGCTGGGGACACAATAATGAAAAAAATACATCCAGGCTGCCCCTTCAGAGCTCACATTCTAAAAAAGTAAGAGAACCAAAAATACAAGTGAACTAACAAAATGACCACAAGTTTTACGGCAAGTGCATGGAGAAAGAGGGGACCTATTTTAGAAAGAGCGTTTAGGGAAGGTGTCTCAGGGGAGGCGGTATTTCAGCTGAGATCTAAAGATCTCATGAGCTGTGTGAAAACAGCATAATGTCCAAACCGTACTCATCTGCCCGTTACCAGAACGTATGTAATTAGCTTCTCTACTGATGTTTAATTGTTTCCAATCTTTTCTTAAAACACAATATTTAAGACAGTCTCATACACACTTCTTTGCCTACATGTGCAAGTAGGACGAACTCCTAGAATTTAAGCTGGGTCGACAGATAACATGCATTTATATTAAAGGCTTTCTACCCAATGGCCCTTCAAAGATGTTTGTAATTTAAATTCTTACCAGCAATGGATAAAAGGGTCAATTTTGATAAAAACTAACTAGGGCTTGAAGCAAACATAACGAGTCAGGAGGGTCTATGGGAGGAGTCAGGGCTCATGGAAGTTCTTGGACTCTAGTAATAACCAGAACCCTGAACATGAGAACCCCACAGGAAGAACTCTTTATAATAAAGCTCTACAGTTCTGACTGTTCTAACTTACCCTCCCCTTAACTTCCTTTTCCTGTCTATGAATGCCCCTCCACCTTGGCATGCGGGCCAGGGTGTGCACGTGGCGTGCACGTGGTTTGCCGTGTCTGCATACACTGGGTTGCAGCCCTTTCTTTGTATCATAAATCCTTTTTGGTGACAAAACACCTAGTAGATATTATTTTTCAGTCAACAATTTGTAGATGAAAACTGGTTTCTCATTGTGGTTTTAATTTATATTTCTCTTATAAGAGTGAGGTTGAACATCTTTCACAACTTCAAAAGCATTTATTTCCTTTTCTGTGAATTGTTTGAGGACTCGGCCCATTTAGTAAAATGGGTGTGAGTCCTTTTCTCATTGGTCCAGAGTAGCATCAGATCATTTTTACTCACCCCTTCCCATCCAGTCTCTGCAGCAATGCAAGTGTGGAAGTGGAGAGACCAGTTACAAGACTATTGCAATCATTTAAGTGAGAGATGATGGTCTGGAAAAAGGTGCTGGTAAACTGACAGAGAAGTAGAAGAATTCATAATATATTGTGGAAAAGGAATAGGGCTTGTCGATGGACTAGAAATGGGAGATAAAAGACAGGGAAGAATTAACAACTCCTACATTTCTGGCTTGAGTAATTTGGTGGATGGTTATGAAGAGAACAGTGTAAAAGGGAAACAGAGTTCTTCCATTTTGGATGTTCAATTTGAGATGTAAAAAGTCAAGCTGAAATGTTTATTACACTGGTGAGACACGAATCTGGAAGGTTGAGCAAAGATTTGTACTGGAGGTATAAACTGGATATATATATATATCCAAAACACAGAAGCTAATGAGATTCTGGCAAGAGAGTACAGAGCAAAGAGAAGGGGCTGAACACTGGTACTGCCACATTCATTCTGAGGTCAGGCAGAGAAGCAGCAGAGAGACTGAGGACGGGAAGTGGACAGGGGTTGGGGGGAGAGCAGGGGACAGCACTGTCTAGGATTCCAAGTGTTTCAAGAAGAAGGGAGTGGCTGATTATGTTGCTGCATGCTGCTTGGAGGTTGCACAAGGACAGAAAAGTTATCCACTGGATTTGACAATAAGAAAGCTGTTGGTAGCCTTCAAAAAATCAATTTAGTGTAGAAGCCAAATGATATTGTAAGGAAGAGTTAATGGGAGGTGACAAATTGGAAACAGTGTACAGATGATTCACTCAAGAATTTTGGCTATGGAAGGGAGAAATGGGTCAGAGCAGTGTTTTGTTTTGTTTGGAAGATGAGAGACACTAGAATATGTCTGTAAGGGCATGACTTAGGAGAAAGAATTGCAAAGCAAGGTCTGCCAGAAGGCAACAGAGGATGGACTCCGAAGCACCAGGGGCAGGATTGATTTTGAAAAAAATATATAAATAGAGCCTATATTTCAAGATAAGCACTAGAAAATGGGTGCAAGAATATATTTGAGGATTTCATAGTAGGAAGATCTATCTATTCTTTTTTAAAGATTTTTATTGGGGAATTGGGGGGGATGGGAACAGTGCTGGGGAATTGGGGGGAGGGGAACAGACAAGTTGCTGTCCTTTTGTTCTTCAGTCGAGTTGTGGAGGACGTTGCTTCACTGGCCCAAGTTGGCACCATCATTGCGCTCTTCCCGGGCGAGGCAGATCAGTCGCCGGCTTCTGGACGGCTGCTCACTGCGGCTGCTGGCCGCTCACGCTGGCTGCTGGCTACACACGGTAGCCCATGGCAACCCACTGCCACAGGGGCTGCAGCCTACGCTGTTGCCGGCGACTCACGGCAGCCCAGCTCCAGGTTGAGCTGTTGTTCAGCATCTTAGCTGTAGAGGGCAGTGTCACTGGCCCTCATATGTGGTATCCAAACCAGGGCCCTCTGGCGTCCCAAGTCAGTTCTTAACCATCGCGCCACTCGGCCGGCCCTATTCTTATTTTTAAGGGTATTTCTGAAAAGGAGAACTAGATATTGAAAATATGTCCACAAATTATTTGACACTCTTTTCTTTAGGAGGTAAAGCTTAAACCCCTCCCTTTGAGTAGGGGCTGGACTTTGTGAATTGCTTCTAACAGAATAAGGTGGAAGTGATGGTGCATGGCACTGTGGCTTCCTCCTTGCACTCTCTCTGATCACTTGTTCTGGTAAAAGCTGAAAAATGCTCACACTGTAAGGACATTCAAGCTCTCTATGGAGAGGCCCACTTGGCAAAGAGCTGAGGCCTCCTTGCCAACAGCCATGTGAGTGATCCATCCTGGAAGTGGACCCTCCAGCCCCAGTCAAGCCTTCAGATAAATGTAACCCAACCAACATCTTGATTACAGCCCCATGAGACTCTGAGTGAGAACCACCCAGCTAAGCTGCTGCAGAATTTCTGACCCACAGATACCGTGGGATAATAAATGTCGGTTGTATTAAGCCATTCCGTTTTGGGACAATTTTTTATGCAGCAATGGAACACTAACATAAACATGAAAAAAGTGCTTTTTGCATCTTCATTTTTGTATGCCTTGCTAATATTTTACTTAGTATTTTGCATGAAGATGCCTAAGAGTGATTCCTGGATTTCTTCGAGGTGTGTGTGTGTGTGTTTAAGATATCTTGGTATCATTGGCACGCCAGTTTTGAAAAAAGAATTGGGAAGTTTTAGATAACAGAATTCCTTACTGTAAAGTTTGAAAGCATTCTCCTTGAATTCTGCCAGCGCCATGTTTTGATTGTTTTTAAAGAAACTACTGACAGTGTTTTCAACTTCTTTGTTGGGGTTTGCCAAACAGCCCTCCAAAAAGGCTGTTCCCATTTATGTTGTCTTCAGTGGTATCTGAGCATATCCATTTCCTCACACCCCACCCACTCCATGTTTGTTTTTCAATATTTTGCTTATTAGAAGGCTACAAATGCAGCTCATTAGAGGCTATAATCTTGGCGGTATCAATGTACATATGAAACAAGTGGTGATGATGAAGACAGCAGGGGCAGGGCCTAGACTGAAGTGGGGGACAGAGTTAACTGAAGGGAATGCCTAAGGACTCTTACAGACGGAGGTAAGAGGAGCCAGAGGAGCCCGGGAGGAAAGTCATGGTCAGAGCAGGAGTCTGAGCTTTGCTGCCTGTAGGTATGTCCTCGTCCTCTTTGGCCAGAGAGAGAGGCAGAAGAGGGAGAAGGCGAGACCTGGGCAAGTCACTTCAGTGTTGAACATCTGGTTTCCTGAGATGGCACGTTCCGGCTTTGACACTCCAGTGGTCTATGAACAAGTAGCTGTATCATTTATCACCCAAACCAGTCCATTTTTTTTTTTTGAGAGGGCAGTTAAGCTGGACAATTAAGCTGGACAACAGGAATACACCAAAACTGTCCCAAATGGTCACCCTAGCTATAAGGCCACAGGGGGAAAAGGAGACTGCATAACAATCAAGAATCTTGATGGCAGACTGAAAAGTGTTGACTGAATTCCGCAGACCTTGGGAAGAGAGATACTTAAACTTGTATAGCCTTAGATATTCCTTCACTTAGTCATTCAACTATCATTTATTGCGAGCTTATTATACGAGTAAAGCTAATAGAACCATGTGTTATAAGAAGTGATGAATCTGTCCCATCAATTAGATCATTTATCCCAGCTCTTGAGATTTTTGTTTTGATTCTGTTATTTTTTCAGTATCTATAAATAATAAATATGTTGACGGGGGGGAAAAAAAAAAGAAGTGATGAATGACACTGCTGGCCATTACATAGGTTTTGTCGTTTGGGGACAGGAGGGGGCTTTTGTTGCTTTTGGACATAATACAGTCAATGCACTAACAATTATGTACATTCAAGCTTGAATATTTTAAATTTGATCTTCAGCTGTACATAGGGTTCTGCATTGTAGTCTCCATGTTTATTACTCTTCTGTAATATTTAAGAGTTGCTTAAAAGTATACAAAATGTACGGTTACTTTTTAAAACAGCTAATTATATCCTTCTTGCCCTCTTTTAAGGGAAGGGACTTCAGTTGTTCCTACATGGCAGGAACCATAATAAACAGTGTACCAATAATATGTAACATAAGTATTGCGGTATGTTATTATAATAATAATCCTGAGGCCCTGTTTTCCAAAATTCATTTTATTTCTATCAGTTCAGTATATTGCACTAATTGTTTTAGGTATTTTCATTATATGAAACCTACAATATGTCAAAAATGATTTAACCTATTTAAGTGTTGAACTGCTAGCAGAACTTGTACATTTACAGTAATTCAGAATTAGTAAGGAAAACAGTTCACCAGCGTTTAGTTTTATATTGAGGTGCTCTGGCTGGAATACAGTGCTATAAAATGTGGGGGGAAAGAAGTGATGAATGAAAAGAATTTTCCCCAAGTTAGTGAGATTGCACATGGAGCTGTGCAGCCCAAGTCCCGCTCCAGGAAGGACTGTGGCAGCTGCTGGGGGCCTGTGGGTAGACGGCATCCAGCTGTGCATGTACAGAACACCTCAACTGCTAAGAGCTTCTTCACCCAAGGTCACCCCCTTCTCAGGGCACCCACATCCCACAACTGAGTGGGGAGGGTCAAGGCCTGACCATTTCGGCCCAGTGTGGGACTACTGCGACGTGCGCCACTTGAGCCCTGAGCTCCTGGTTTCCTAGCCTGCCGCACAGCTTGACTCCTGCTTCTGTCCGATAATACTGCTTTCACATCCTTCCTTCCACAGCTGTAGCTGCCAGGAGACTCCCCTATGAACCCTGCACATTAAGCTCAGGCTCAGGGGACCCAATTTGTGACAGTTAACAACTCTATCCTGGCGGCGAGAGAGGAGAGACCACAATCGCAAGGCAGGGACGGGTAGAAGATTCACTATTACTATAATATTTCCACTTAGAAAGTGAAAAAGGCCGCCCGCACTTGTAATACAATTTGCACAGTCCACCAGGCCCCACAAAAACCTTGTGGCCGGGGAGTGTGTGTGTTGGGGGGGCTCAGGTCCCAAACGGCTGAGAAACAAGGCCCATCCTCTTCCTACCAGCTGTGTGACAGTGGGCCACTCTGACCCCCATTTCCTCGTCTGTGAAAAGACATTTTCTCATTCACATTTTAAGAAATTAGTTGACAAAAAGCATTTTATACATTTGAAGAGGCTATATAGACCTTAATTCCTACTGCTTTCCACTTGGTTCTGAAGAGCTGCCATTAATGACTAACTGCTGGCAACCCAATCAGGATGTCAAGAGAAAGCAGTGCCAGCCCCTGGTGGCCGGTAATTACTATCTCTGCTCTTTTCCTGTTTTTCTCAACTCAGTGACATGGAGCTGAGGTACCCAGCATATGTATTTTACAAGTACTGGTGTATATACTGGAGATTTATGGTCCATGCTCTTAACTTCAAGAATGGGTAAGTTAAACCCATCATTAAGTTACTTTTTATTTGTGTGTAGATGATATTTTACTAATGGTGGGGCTGGGACTCAATTAAAAAAAAAAAAAGCAAGTTTCCACGCCTGCCATAGCAAGCCCTCGTAAACCTGTGAGCTGGAGTGTCCAATCACAACTAAAGCTCCAGTGACCTGTACTGAACTGGCCCCTGCGAGAAAGGCCCTCCCCACCACAGCCCTCTCTGCTGGGAAGAAACCCATCTCATACACTGCATGGATCTAGAACCTTCTCAGGCTGGGCCCCTTGGCTGAAACTGGGTTCTCCTATCTCTAAAGACCCATGGCCTCTAGGTTTTCTCTTATGACACTTACCGGAGCCTAAGTAAAATCACAACTATTCAGATCTTTTCTTTCCTACCGGCCTGGAAACGCCTGATACTTGTCTTGCAGCTGTTAATGCACCCTTGCCGCCAACGAAGGTTTTCTGAGTCAGTATAATGGGAAGGGGAAGACAGGAGCAAAGCTGGGCTTGTCCCTTCTTGCCCAATTTCTGTAGCTCTGATAACTGGCAACGTGACTTCTAAGACTGTTTATCATCCTGTGTTGGGCCCTGAATAATGTGATGGAGAGTTTGACCCTGAACAAACTCTGTGAACAGTCCCAGCTAGCTTAGCTGGGCCTTTCATTTATTCACTGGTGGGAAGAAGGACTGAGGCCTGTGTTGACCTTTAGGGTTGGATGACTCTTCAAAGACAAAGAACAGTGTGGTGCCTATGAGAAGGATGACATCAGCGGGAAAGAGGTGAAGGACCATGAACTCTGAAGTCTGTCTCGAGGCTGGAGGCAAGCTGGAGCCTTCAGGTCTAGAGAGAAACAAGGAGCCAGATAAAGAGACTGTGTCCTGTTTGGCCTGCGTGGTTTGTAATAGCCATTTCTTATAATTATAGCTCCCATTTAGTGAGCACTCACTGTGGGCCAGGCACCACACACATGATCTCACTTAAGTTGCTCAGCATCCCTCTTACAGGAGGAAACTGAGGCACAGAGAGGTTAAGCAACGTGCCTTAAAGTCACACAGCAAGCAAGTGACAGAACCAGGATTTGGCTGCCGGCATTTTTCACTTCCGAGCCAGCCAGCTTTTAGACCCTGTCCTGGTACTTGTTTGTCCCTGCAAAGACATGTGTGTCCTCCAGAAGCTGTCCCCTGCAAATTCGGGGGCTCCTGTGTGGCTGGCTTCCAGCTGGGTCCATCAGAAGGAGGTGGGAGCAGGGGACAAGAGTGTGAGCAAAGGACAGGCCAAGGCATTTTTCCCTCTTGATCTGCATGTGACAACAGCTCCTTCTCGCCCTACCTGGCCCGGAGACGCTCTCTCCACCCCAGTCTCTGGGTGCCCCATCCCTGTCTGCTCCTGTAAGAAGTCAGTCATTAAGTCCCTTCACACGAGCCATCTAGGGTGAATGCTACTTCCTGCCGGGACCCCATCTGCTCCACCACTACCCACAATGGCTCCCACTTGCTTCACACCACATCACATAGATGAGAACAGCAGTGGTGGAAAGAGCTGACTCCACTCAAAAAGAAATGAAGCTCCTGCCTGAATATCCCTTTATCGTGCAAAACAGCTGGCTACAATGCGAGGTATGAATCTGGTTTGGCTAGTGGGTCCAACCAAGCAGCCAACCATGGAAAACTGCTGGTGAGATAATTCGGGAATTTGAATACTGATTGGATATTTGATGGTATCAAAGAATTATTGATCATTTAGGTGTACTAATAGAATTATGGTTATGTTTAGAAGAGTCCTTGTATTTCGGGGATATATACTAAAATACTTGTGGACGGGTAGTGCCTCCTAGAAAGTCCAAGGCCTCCTTCACATGACAGCTCATCAAATATTTGAGCTGGCAACCTTGTTCCTTTCTCAGTCTGATCTTCTCAGTATGAACACTCCCAGTCTGTTCAACCATTTCCGCATGATTTCTCCCCCGGGGGAGAGATAGGTTCCTTTCTCATCAAAGCAGGTCCCAGCGTGACCTAGTGAGACAGGAGTTTCCTGGAGATTCGAACCCCAGCTCTGGGACAATAAGAGCAAATCCTCTGCCAAACATCTCTTCACATGCCAATAACTATACCAGCCCTTTGACACACAGTGTTACTTAATCCTCACCAGAGCTCTCCCAGAAAGAGGTTAATATTCTCTTCTCACAAAGGTTGCCCAGGAAGAGATGGATTTGGAATGGTCTGATGATTACTTTTATGTGTCAACATGGCTAGACTATAATACACTGTTGTTCAATTACACACGAACCTAGGTGTTGCTGTGAAGGTATTTTATAGACGTGGCTAACAGCTACAACCAACCTGGTGACTTTAAGAGATCATCCAATCAGTTGAAGAGCCTTAAAAGCAAAACTGAAATTTTTCCCGAGGAAGAAATTCTGCCTCAAGCCTGCAGCAGCAGCTCTTGCTGAGTTTCCAGCTACCCTAGAGTTTGCCAGCCTCCACAACCTGCAGCCAATTCCTTGAAATGAATCTCTTAAAAGTGTGTGTGTGTGTGTGTGTGTGAGTGTTCACATTATACTGGTCCTGTTCTCTGGAGAACCCTGACTGATACTGAGTCTTATCCAATCTCAAAAAGTCACGCCACTATGACCACAGGTCAGACATTTATGCCACTGTCCACACCCCACCAACCACTGTAACCCAAAACCACCCAGGTATGTACCTGAGCCTCACCAGCTTCAGCTGCCCACAAATGGATTTGGAAATTAACGTAGATCCTTAACAACTAGACTTTGAGAATAAACTATTGCTATCGAAAGCCTGCCGCGAATGGGAGGAGCCTGTTTTTATACCTGTAGACGTGTCGTGGGTGAGAGGCATGCTTTACCTGATGCCTAAGAACAGTGACTTGGTCTATTCCGGGCAAGGTCACTAACTTGTTATATAACTTTAGGTAATCCTGTTTCACCACCTGATTAATTATAATGCCAACCTGAAAGTCTGCTTTCCACTGCCCCCATCCACTCAAATTGGCATTAAATGGTCTGATGGCCCCTCAGGGTTTCAGATCTGACCTACTTTCTAGTTGGACTCTGGCCTTGAAGGACCCAAGACACATTCAAGCTCATGATATCAAGCCAATGTGAAGGAATGGGTGAAAGCTCAATCAACAGACACGGCGGAACTGGCCTGTGTCTCACGCTGTCTTGGGTGTTGCCTGCAGGTTCAAGTGAAGACCCCATTTTCCATACTCAAGACACTGTGATTCAAAATAGACATGCAAAGTCCCATAAAAGAAATACTACAGAGTGTAATAGGGCTCGAAGGAGAAGAATAGGAAATGCTTGTAAATGACATGACAGTTGAGATGAATGAGAATTAACAGTCAGAAAACTGGGAAGAATAAAAGGAGGCATTCTCGGCAAAGGTAACAAAGTGAGAGACAGGAAAAGCATGGGCTGTCGGGAAAAGAAGGGAGAAAAAATTGGCTGGAAAGTAGGCTACAGGTGGAGGCTCATGGGAAATGAGCTCAGCTAGGGCAGTTAGGGAGTTGGGTCAACATCTGGCCAAATGAGGAGCCTTGAATGACAAAATATTGAATTGGTAGGTAATAAGGAGCTAGTGGAGGCTCCCCAAATGAGAGTGCAGAAAACCAAGGCGTGCTCTGGAAGCCTGCACCTGGCCATAGAATGGACAGAAATAAACTGGGGAAGGGGCATTACAGAGCCCAGCTGAATTAGTAATAGCCAGAGCTGACACTGTTGAGGGCATTATCATGTACCAACCCTGTTGAACTTACATTTAATCCTCACAACTCCCTAAGGTACTCTTACCATCCCATTTTAAGGATAAGGGAACCAAGGCACAGAGAAGGAAAGAAGTGTGCCCCAGATCATACAACCAGTCAGCAGTGGAGCCGAGACCTACAGCTACCCCAGCTGGTCAGATTCCAGTGCCAGAGCGCCTGACCACAAGGCTGGCCTGCCTGAGCGGGGGCCTGGGCTCTGCACTCTGTTTTCAGGGTTGAGCTGAGAAGTCAGGGGAATGGAAAGGAGATTGATGCAGGGGACACAGCAAAGATGCTATCTCCATAACCTACCAATTCAGGTGAAGGACTGACTGGGAAAAGTCTGAAATAGGATCCCCACGGTTCTTTGCACATCAAGCCAGAAAAAAAAAAACACCCAGATTTGCTCATTAGCACATACCAAGTCCTGCTGCAGATGATCCTACACAGACCAGCTGCTTCCCGAAACAGCTTAGTTTTCAACAGTTGGAGCCCATTTGCTAAGCAAGCTGAACACCCCAAGAGTTGCCAGGAAAAGGGAGGTGGTGACTGTGTTACAAATGGAATTGTATCCCTCAAAATTCATATGCTGAAGTCATAACCCTCGGTACCTCAGATTGTGACCTTACTTGGAAATTGGAGCATTGTAGATGTAATTAGTTAAGATGAATAGGTGGGCCCCTAATCCAATATGACTGATATCCTTATAAAAAGGGAAATTTGGATACAGACACGCACAGAAGGAGAATGCCATGTGAAGATGGAGGCAGAAACTGGGGTAATGCAATAAAACCAAGCGCCTCCAAAGACTGCCAGCAATCTACCAGATGCTAGGGCGGGCAACAGATTCTCCTTCCCTTCCAACCCTGCTGACACCTTCATCTCCAACTTCTTGTCTCTGGAACTATGGGACAATGAATTTCTCTTGGTTAAGCCGCCCAGTTCGTAGCACTTTGTTCTGGAAGTCCCAGGACACTAATGCAGTGACCTATGCCACCCTTTCCCATCAAGGCCTCAGGGCATCTTTACGTTGTCCTTTAGTAAGCAAAAGGGAGAGCTTCCTGTGAAAATTTTCAGCGCTGCAGTGGATGGAATTATTGGACTATTTCTGTATCCTGGCTGTGAGTTAGAAACAGGCAAGTGTTTGAAATTTCATCTATCTCCACTTGCCCAGGCATCAGGGACATTCTTTGTGAAGGAAAAGAAATTTTTCCTTTAACAATCAAGGACCTTTCTCTTCCCTTTCCTATTAGAAGCAAGTATTAATTGTATCAGATTCTTCCTGTGACCTGAAGAAACCCAATCCAATGAGCAATAAATCAAGAGGTTCTGCTGGACCCCTCACCCAGGAGACGGTGCCCATCCCAGGTCACGAAACCACATCAAGATGACCACACGCCTTCTCAGTTTCAAAGTGGCAACAGCTCCCTGAAATACTGATGCTGGGTATACACAGTCACCCCATCTTCAAATATGCTCACACATTCAATTCTGCAAAAACTGTTCATTTCTGTGTTTCACCCAAGCATCATTTTCAGGAACACGTGCTTCATCAGTTGTGAGTGAATGGCTGTGGTCATGAAAAGAAGCAATGTCTGCCCTGGGGAATTCCAGATTCTGTTTTCAGATAGTGATTAGCCCCACTAAGAAGTGAAACCAAAGCAGTTCTTCTTTGGGTCTCGTACAACTCAAATGTAAGCCACCAGAATGATCTATTTAAAAACAAAACAAACCTATGATGTTCTTATGGGGCAAAACACTCCCTCTCTTTGAAGTAAACAGTAACTAACATTTACTAAGCACTTAAGACACAACAAGCACAGTTCAAAGTCAGCTATGTGGAATGAATTGATTCTCACAACAACCTTATGTAGCAGGCACCTTTATTATTCTCACTGTGCAGGTGAGGAGAATGAAGCACAGATAAGTAAAGAAACTGGCCCAAGGTCACAGAGCCATAAATGGTAGAGCTGGGATTCAAAACTGGGCAGTCTGGCTCCAACACACCTTACACCCTTACCAACCAACCAACTCAGACAAATAGGCAAACAACTAAAGGAAATAAAGTGAGTGGGAACAGCCGAAGGAGAGTGGGTTGAGGATGGAGGCAAAAGAGAACACCAATTACATTCCATGAGCTGGGCTGGCACTTCACATATGCTTTTCCCATTTAACTGGCACAACACCCCAGAGGTAAGCATTATTCTCCCACTTGACTGATGAAACACTGAGGCTTGGGGTGATTAAAGTAAACTGTAAGAGGGCACATTTGTAAGTGATGCCTCCAAACCCGAATCTGTGGATTGCAAAAACCGGTGTTTTCTCAGCCCATTTTCTCCCAGTCACGGTTTCAAACTGTAACCGCAGCCTTCTGGATGGTACAATCTGCTTTTAACAGTCAATCCAGTATTGGAGACAGTGGGCCAGGAGTCAGTAGTGAGGGGCATGACCCCACACCAGCTGCATGTGTGTCCAGAGAACCTGAGTACACTGCAGGTGCTTAATTAATGTGCCAGTCTGGGAGTCAGGAAGCTCAGGTTCTAGCCCCACTTCTGGAACTAATTATCTGGGTGGCTTTAGCCAAATCTCCTAACCTCGCCGGGCTTCTATTTTCCTTAAGTACAAATTGGATAAGGTTGCTCGGCCTGTGTACCTCCAGGTTGATGTAAAAAGGCCTTACCAATAAAGGTGAATTGGCCGTGACAACTGTTTAAGGTGCTCGACAGCTGACCACCGCCAGAATGAACATAACCAGGTCATCCAAGCAAGCAGCTACCCCAGTCCAGCAGGTCCACACATGCCAGCCGGGAAAGGCAACGCCAGAATGGCCCCATGTGAACTTCTCCCTCTCACCTAGGAAAGCTGGGCTCAGGGCCAACCAGCTCTGGCTGGTCCTAGGCCCCAGAGCTTCCCCCAAGGCTGGCTTGCTTGTCTAAATAGGTACCAACCAGGTGATGCGGGGAGGAGGGGAGTCCTTGCAGAGTGAAGAGCCTCGCCTCCTTCCAGGTCCCTGGATGCTTTGCAAGCCGGCTGGCATTCAGCTGTGAGGGGGGCAGGGTGCCATCTGGTACAGCATCCAGCATTGGGTTTCATTCCGTATGTTACAGAATCAGGAAAGGTAGCAGTGCAACACGCACCTCTCGTTCAGGAGGCAGAGGATTCAGATGAGGGACCAGATTGAAGGTGTGGGAAGAACCTTCCACTGTTTGTTCTGAACAGACAAAAGCCCTCCAAGACTCTCACTAACCCCCCGCCCCATTAGTTCTGGCCCCAGTAAAAGGAAGGGATCAAATCTGCATAACAGTGAATCACCGAACACTCTGGCACAATGACCCCCCCAGGAGAGGGTGGAGAAGCTCGTCTGACAACTGCCTACACAAACGTCTGACAACTGCGTACACAAACGGCAATTCGGAAGAGCAGCAAACAAACCTGTCTAGCCCCAATTCCCGTTTTGCTTTAGATTGCACTCCACAAAACCAACGTTCAAGGAACACTTGTTGATGGATACCAGTTGGTCACACTAAGGTTTGGGCCAAGAAAGAATTAAAAAGGTCCCTTTGAAGGAACTTTGGATAAGGTGGTTTTGTAGAAATTGTCATTAAGTGTCCTTGGACTGGAAGGGGCCATCAGCAGCAACACAGATACTTCAACGGACAGATCTCGGTGAACTGTTTCAAAAGGAAGTTAAACCAAAGGGTTTGAACCTATGAATCAAAGGGAACTTGTTAGTCACTAGATGATAGAATACCTGTTTTATGCTACAGCGGTTACACATTAACTGGGGATGGTTGGGTCACAGCGGGACAGTCTATCAGCTGGCCTAAGACTGAACACTGACCACTGCTCCTTAATCCAGGGAGGCAACAAAAACGAACTGCAACTGGGTTAAAATCCGGATTGGGGGGGAGCCATCGCGTTAAGCCGGAAGCGTGGTGCTTAAAGAGAAACGTGCGACCTCACCAAGGCCAAGGCCTCCTTCGGATCCTCCCGGTCACGCACGGGTTCCAGAAAAAGACATCTCAGTGTACACGAGTACTGAACGAAGGCAGTGCGCAAGAAAATTACCAGCATCCCTTCTCCCCTCCCCAGCCCCGAACTACCCTTGATAGCCATCAAACGCACAAAAAAGTGTTCCCTGTAACAAAACGGATGATTTCACCCACTTGTCTCTCAACTATTAATAAAAGCCACAGCGCCAGCACTAACAGCCTTCGTTCAGATTCACAAAAAGCAGTGGCGCAGAGTCGTCCGCGAACCTACAGCAACCCAGGGACTGAAGGTGGGGGGACACAGGGTGTGCCCCCCCCCGGTCCCTTACACCCTCTAGGGCTCCTGGCCAGCTCTCCCAGCACCGTGCTCGCGTCCCCGCTCTCTTGTTACCTCGCTCGCGCCTCCGCTGGCGTCCGGCACTTGAGCCGTCGGTTCCGCCGGTGCCTTCTCCTCCTCCCCAGCAGCCAAAGGACTACTCGGAGACGCTCGGGGGTCCCCGCCACCTCCCGGCGCAGCCTGGCTGCCGCCGTCCGCACTGGCGCCGACTCCTCCTGCCGACGAGGCGGCGGCGGCGCCGAGCAGCCCGTGGGCTCCGTCGGCGTCCCCGGCCGCCACGCTGTGAACCAGCCACGCATCCACGCGGGTACGGGGAATGAATGGGACGCCCAGCGCGCGCACTTCCCGGAGCAGCTGGCCCTCCGGCTCCGGTTCCCGGCCTTTGGGGTGAAGGTGGTCGGCGCGCCCCCACCCTCCCGAGGCCGGGAAGGAGCTGAGCGCATATGCGGGATTCGTCTGGCTGTCTGCGAACAGCAGTTCATCCCGGAGCAGAGTGGGCGGTGGGAGCAGCAGGTAGAGGTCCAGTTCCACATCCAGGTGGAGCCCCGCCAAGCTCAGCAGGATGGTGAGGTGCAGGAGGCCGCCGCCGTCGGACCACCACGGCTTCAGGTACTTCATCTCCCGCCGCGCGCCCAGGGACGCCCCAGCCGGCGCCCGCGGGTTCCAGCGCTCCAGCAGCCGCTGCGGCACGTGAGGACCCCGCGCGCCGCCGGCACCTGCCCGGAAGAGACCGAAAAGCGAAACAATGGATCCAGGAGCGCAGCAGCCGTCGCGGGTTCCCGGAGCCCGGCACAAAGGCACTCCCTTGCAGGCCTGCACGGTGCCAGAAGCTCAGGAGAGGCGGAGGAGGAGCCACCTGCGCGCGGAGCTAGCCTGCCTCTCCGCCTCGTAGCTCCGCGCGCCGGCCAGGCCCCGCCCCCGGCCGCGGGCGCAGTCGCTGGGGACACGCCCACTGCCGCCCCGGCCTTGCGCCCGTGGGAGGGGCCTGCGCCCGTGGGAGGGGCCTACGCGGGCGGGGCGGGGCTCCTCAGCTCAAAGGCTCTTTATTCCGGGGGAAACGCAAAGCTTTCTGGGAGCAGGAGTTGTGGGCCCCAAGTGGCCCTCAACCTTGTGCGGGCAGGCTGGGCTGTCGTAGCTGACTGCGCGGGTGGGAATAAGGGGTCAGGGTTCAGGGATAAGGATGGGTGGGAAGGGACCGGATATGTAGACTGAGGGAAAAAGTCGAGGCACTGGCAGCATGCAAAGGTCTTCCACCTACGTGAGAACACTGGGCTGCTGCACTGGGTTCAGGAATCTGATCCCTGGAATCGGATTCCAGCCCCGCTATCTGCCAGTCGTGTGACCTCGAGTAAGTTACTTCTCTGTGCCTCAGTTCTCTTATCTGCAAAAGGAGGATAACAGTACCTGTCCAACACGGATGTGGTAAGGTCAGATGAACTATTATATGTAAAGCCCAGAGTTTGACGTACAGATTCCACAGCTGCCATTAGGATCAAAGAGCACTTTCCCAAAACCCTGTTCCCCCTCCCCAGGCCGTGTGCTCCAGCCTCACAGACTCCTCACTTGTCCCTGTTGTGCCCTACACGATGGTAGGCCTTCCCTCATGGTTTCCTTTGCTCTTTATTAAGGGAGGGTTAAGAGCACAAGCTCTCGAGTTACCCTGTGTGAGTTCACATACCCCCTCTACCTGGACCTTGGACAAATGGCTCACTTTCTGTGTGCCTTAGTTTCCTTACTTGGAAAATGGAACTCATAATAGCACCTCCCCAGGAGACCTGTTGTGAACCCCAAATGAGATGCATGTCAACCACCAACCAACAGCACTTGATAGGTAGGAAGTGCTCTCCGAGTGTTACCCATTATTTGTATTACCCATCCTCCAAGGCTTAACCCAAAGATACATCCTGTGAGCTTTCACCATCTGAAATTAATCACTTCCCCCATCTGTTCTCCCACAGTGCTTTTTCCATATGCCAACAATGCAACACTTGGCACCTTCTATTCTAGTTGAGGATTAGAGCGATTTGCCCATTGTACATTCTTGAGAGGAAAAAAAAAAACAAAAAACCTGTTTGGCTCACCTTTGTGCCTGCATGGTACCCAGCGCTGGGCTTGCAAATGTAGGTTTTACTAACCCACATTCCTCTCCCTGGAGGGGAGGGGGGAGGCGAAGGAGGGGATGCTCAACTGGAGGTTGGCAGTTGTGTAGGAAGTTGAGCAAGACTTGTTTTTCAAGGTCCCTTCCTCCACTTGGGTTTCTCTTCTCTCTTGGAGCCAATGTGATAACTTCACATGCGATTTCAGTTTGCCCAGTGAGAACCTGGACAGGGCAGCAGAGCCTGCTTCTGCTTTAAGCCTTGGTGAATGGGTTAGGGGGTGGTGAAGAGGCTGGGAAAGGGATGAAGAGAGATGCTCACCAGGTTAGTAAGATTTGAGACAAGCCCTTGTTCACACCACTTAATTCCTGGATAGGGGATTCAGGTTCTGGGCTTGACAAATGTCAGCTGAATTCAGGTTTTTACTGAGGCCCTACTAAATTGCCTGATGCTTGTTGGAGGCTGTGAAGGATATGAAATGGATACTTTTGCTGGGTAAATATATGGTTTCATTAAGGAGATTTCCCAAGAAACAAGGGAAAGAATGTTCTCAGATGTCAAAATGTTGAGGAGAAGTAAATGACTATAAAGGAATTGCTGTAAACCAGGTGAAAACAGATGATGCCTTCTTCAAACAGATGATGCCTTCTTCAAAATGGTATCTTCCAGAATCTAGCACAGAGTTGGTGCTCAAAAAAAAATTTTTTTTTTCAGTTGAATTAAGGAGTTTACACTTGAGGTATGTTTTGAGGGATCTGAATAGATTAGGCAGAGCATTCAAACTTCCTTCTAACATTAGTTGGGAGGAGGCTGACTGCTCACCCTTTAAAATGTGAGTTGGTAATCACATAGTATCTGTCAGACTGCTCCATTCAAAAGTGTGGCATAATGCTAGCTTACAGGCTGGTGAAAAGGAGGGCACACAAAAGACTCTGAGATAAAACATTAAACAGGAGACTCATAATTAATCCCATATACCCTTGACCTTAATTGTAAGAAAAGTTCCCATTTTTAGGAATGCGGAAAAGAGTGGAGTGAGATTAGAAGGAATGACGTCTACTTAGGTTTTTGTTTTGTTTTGTTTTTTATTTCTAGAATCCCTCCATCCAGGAATAGCCAAGTGACTAGTGCAAACCATTGTCATATAAAAGCCTTGAAAAGTTATCTGTGTTTATTAAAACTCTTAAATCAGCACCACTCAAAAGATGGTCTAAAACTGATGCCTATCCACAAACCATTTGTATCTGGTCCAGATGAAGTAAGTAATAGAATTGAGCGTGTTTAGAAATTTTTATAATAATTTGACATTGTTGCCACATCCAACGTGCTATCAGTGGGGGTTTTTTTTGTTTTTTGTTTTTTTGCGTTTGTGTCTTTGTTATTTTATTTTTCTAGAAATTAATTTTTATTTATTTCACCAAAGTAGTGACCCACAGAGATTGGAAAATAAAAAACAAAATAAAATAAAATAAAAAAGAAGCTGGTCCTTCAGCAGGATTAGTTTGAGAAGGCCTGCCTTAAATGGAATTCCTGGGAGGTAGGCAGGGTCTAAGATGACTTCCAGTTCTCCCCTTTTCCGGAGTGTAGGCTAAATCTAGTGACTTGCTTTTAACAAATAGAATATGGGCAAAACTGATGGGATGTCATTTCCAAGATTAGGTTATGAAAAGACTGGGTGGCTTCTGTTTCATTTATTTTCTTAGTCTGTTTGGGCTGCTATAACAAAAATACCATAGAACTGGGTGGCTTATAAACAACAGAAATTTATGACTCACTGTTCTGGAGGCTGGAAGTCCAAGATCAGGGTGCCAGCAGGGTCGGGTTCTAGTGAGGTGACTCTCCAGGTTGCAGACTGCTGACTTTTTGTTGTATCCTCCTATGGTAGAAAGGGTAGGGAGCTTTCTCAGTGGCTTTCATAAGAGTCCTAGTCACATTCATGGTGGCTCTGTCCATCACCTAATCACTTCCCAAAGGCCCTACCTCCTAATCATCTTGGGGGGGGTTAGGTTTCAATACATGAATTTGGTGGAGGGACACAGTCAGCCCATAGCACTTCCTTTCTCTCTCCGTGCCTTGGAGAGGATGCCATGCTGTGAGCAGCCCTATAGAAGCTCATATAGCAAGGTCTGAGTGTCTTCTGCCAGTAGCCATCGAGAACCTGAGGCCTGCCGACAGCCACTTGAATGAGCTTAGAAGCAGATCCTTCCCTAGTTCAGGTTTGAGATGACTGCAGCCCTAACCAACTCCCTGAGGAAACCAAAGCATGTATCTATGTCACACGTGGACTCCTGACCCAGAAATGACTCCAGGATAATAAATGCTGTTTCAAGCCACTAAGTGTTGGGGTCATTTGTTATGCAGACTAGATAACTTAGCACACCTTGTTTCAGAAGTGGACATCCGACACGTAAAAGGAAAAACTACAAATGCTACCGCAGTTGTGCTATCTGGCTAATGATGTAGTCAACACATACTTTATAACTGCAAAGTACCATTACAGTAGTACACTCTGGTCCCCAGATGCACTTAACCTTTTAGGAGTAAGACTGTAGCTTGGCATGAAAGATAGTTGCCACTAAAACAGCCTCTGGCAGCGGATGGGAGGTAAGCAGCAAGCAAGTGCTTTCTTCCATGGCTGTTTCTCGCAAGTATCCAGACTCAGCAAGAAAGAAAACAGGTCTGAACCTTAGACTCCTTCTTTTAGAAAGTTTCTGCTAATATTGGCCACAGGAAATTTAAATTTGTGGTAGAAATACCAGGATTAAGCAAAATAGCCTATTCAAAGTCCAAGACATAAATTAAGATATAAGTCATATTATCTGGAAGGAAGAATTAAGCATAGGTAGTTTCAAAGCAGGCATAGTAACTAGAATTTAAATGACTGCGATTGTTGAGACATTGTGCCAAAGGCTTCTGCACAATAGATTTATGAATGGCCTAATTTGCTACCTTGTACCAGTCTTGGTGGTGGTGAATCAGCTGATACTTGATGAAGAGGAAGAGTTTATCCTCCTTTTTTTATTTTAAAGATTTTATTGGGGAATTGGGGAAGGGGTATAGACAAGTTTCTGTCCTCTTTTTGTTCTTCAGTCTAGTTGTGGAGGACGTCGCTTCACTGGCCCATGCTGGTATTATCATTGTACTCTTCCCAGGTGAGGCAGTCGATCACCAGCCATTGGACAGCCACTCACAGCAGCTCACGAAAGCTCACACCCGCAGCCGGCCAGCCCCACTGCAGCCTACACCATAGCTGGCAGCTCACGGCAGCCCAGCTTCAGGTCGAGCTGTTGTTCACCATCTTAGCTGTAGAGGGCGCAGCATCACTGGCCCTCATGTGGGATCCGAACCAGGGCCCTGCTGCTCAGAGCTGGTGTCCCAAGCCAACTCCTAACCAACATGCCACTCAGCCGGCCGAGTTTATCCTTCTTCTCATGTTAGTCTGTAATCTTGTAAAAGTTTGACTATAAAGTTATTTTGGACATTATGGTGATAATATCACTCTCACACGCAGCATTTGCAACAGAAGCTCCGATGAACCCTGGTCTGTGCTGAGCCCTTTTCATGCATAATCTCATTAACTGCTCACAGCAGCTCTATGAAGTAGGTATTGCTTCCATTTTATATTGTCTAGATAAGGACACTGAGGCTCTGGGACATGACACCCTGTGCCCAAGAACATGCACGCCCTTGGTAAATGGCAGAGTCAGAATTCAAACCCACGATCTCTCCACTTCCCACTGCTGTCCACCCCTCCTCTGTGCTGTTTTGCTTGTTTATTCATTACTCCTCCTCCTCCTCCTTCGGGAGGAAAACGCCCCTTTTCAATCAATGCATTCTTCCCAAGGCTTTTTTTTTTTTAAGATTTTTATTGGGGAATTGGGGGGATGGGAACAGTGCTGGGGAATTGGGGGAAGGGGAACAGACAAGTTGCTGTCGTTTTGTTCTTCAATCTAGTTGTGGAGGACGTTGCTTCACTGGCCCAAGTTGGCACCATCATTGCACTCTTCCTGGGCGAGGCAGATCAGTCGCCGGCTTC